GGATGTTAGGTCAGGGTGAATATTCCTCAGCAAAACAACAAAAAAAAAGATAAACACATATCTAATTATCCCTTCCCCTTCAACAATTTTTCTAAGCCCCCCTTTTTCCCTACTAAATCTGTAGGGTCCCCCAAGTTGACAGCAGAGGGAGTGCTGCTGCCAACTGTGCCCATACAACATTACACCCAACACATCCCCTTACCATGCTCTGAAACAGGGGTACACCCTCTCATCTCCACAGTGCCTTTACTTCGCTCTTTTGCATTTACAAGTGAGCCTGAGCACACCTCAATAAAGATGTGGGACAGGGACCATTGTCACCTATTCAGATGAGAAAGCTTGTCCATGGTCAAGAAGACTTGTCCATGGTCACATGGGGAGTTACTGACATAACCAATGTTGGGCACTTACTATGTGCTGGCATTTTAAAACCTTATCTGCCTCATAACATCACAGTAAGGTAGATTATTATCCCCATTTTACAGGTGGCAAAATTGAGGCTGGAAGAAGTTATTTGACTTGCCAGTGATGACCCAGATAATATGTGGTGAAGCTGGCGTTTGAGCCCAATCTCCTGGCTCCAAAGCCTGAGTTCTTTCCAAGATATGGATCTGGTCCCAAAAAAGAGTAAAAGTCTCTCTGAGTGGCTGAAACTTGGAGGGGCTTCCAAAAGCCCTTCGAAATCTCCCAGTCCCAGGATCTTATTTCTTTTCCTACTGAAGTTCTTGGCACAACAGACTCATAAAACCTGGTGAATTGGCCACACCCATCAATATAGTTAACTGTGTTAACTGTCCATCGGGGATGACCTTGTCTTCAAGCTTTTATTGGGTGACTAAGTCAAGAAGCTCTTGCCTGTGAGCACCTCCATTGCTTGCTTTTCCTCCCTGTCAGGTTTTTATTTTCCTTTGTTCATACACTGACCAAACATTGAGCACCCACCAAGTGTCTGTGGGAGGCTTGGTGGGCGTAGGTGAGTATGGCCCATCCCTGCCCTCGAGTAGCTCCCAGCCTATAGCAAAGGTTTCTGAAGGGCCTTCTATGGGCAAAGCCCGGTGACAGGCCATAGAGAGGGGAGGACCACAAAGACCTGCCTTCGGAGAGTCTCCTGCTGGGCTGGGGAGACAGACTGCACTTGGATGATACAAAGGTGTGAAAAGTGGAAAGGAGCAGAAGTGGCCATCGCAAGTGAGGGTGGGGGTGGGAGCAGCCAATCTTGAGTTTCCTGTGGTGCTGCTTTTAAATCCCATCTTGCTGTGGTCACTGTGGGACATTGTGTCTCAGAGCCCCACAGCCTGCTGCTTGGAAGGAGGGTTTTAAACAGGAGAAGGTGCTGGAAAGTACAGAGATGCATAAAGAAGCAAGCTAAATTTATCCCTCCTCACAGCATTCAGCAATTGCTATGCTTAACACTTGACTTTCTACCAATGGAGACTTGTTTAAACAGATCAGTTGCTTTTCCCTCAGCTGGGAAAAGAGGGAGAGAGAGAGACAGAGAGACAGAGAAAGAGATAATCAGAGACTCTGAAGACAGAGACACACAGAGAGAGACCAGAAGAGAAGCAAGAACAGGCAGAGATAAAGGCATCCTTTGGTACTCAGCCCCAGTGAGCAGCAGGCAAGAATATTAAACTGGGACCAGCCCTGGTGGCCTAGTGGTTAAATGTGGCTCACTCCGCTTCAGCGGTCCAGGTTCGATTCCCAGGCGCAGACCTACACTGCTCTATTAGGGGCCATGTTGTGCTGGCAGCCCACAAACTAAAAAATAGAGGAAGATTGGCATGGATGTTAGCTCAGGGCAAATCTTCCTCAGCAAAAAAAAAAAAAAAAAAAAAGAATACTAATCTGGGCTCCTGAGTGAGAGAAATCAGACAATCTCCTGCCCTCTCCCTCCCTGGCTACACGATTCTGGCTACATCATCGCTAAGTTCCAGATAGCATCATTTTCAGATGTAAGTATACTGGAGATGTCTATATTATTTCTATTATCTTGGCCACTGCTGGGCCACTGGGTCCCTGTCACCCACCACCACCCCTGATTAGTGGAGAGTTGACTGTAAATGGATAAATACAAAAGCTATGATTAAAATAAGCATTACAAGACTAAATATTTGACCTAGCATTCCCATCTCTAGGAATTTATTCTAAGGAAAATAATTAAGGACACAGGCAAAGAATTTATCATGAGATTATTCATTGCAGTGTTGTTTAGAAAAGGAAGGAAACAAACTAAATAGCCAACTCCTGTTGGAGACCTGCTCAAGAAACCTTTCCAAAAGCTTTCCATGCTGCTTGTAAATTAGGTTATACACGGATACTTATTGATTTGGAGAGACATGATTTATTAGGTGAAAAATGCAAGTTACAAAATAGTGTGTATAGTATGACTCCATGTAAGTATTCTTATACGTAAGAATAAACCGTGGCTTAGCGGTTAAGTGCTCGCGCTCTGCTGCTGGCGGCCCGGGTTTGGATCCCGGGCTCGCACCGACGCGCCGCTCGTCCGGCCATGCTGAGGCCGCGTCCCACATACAGCAACTAGAGGGATGTGCAGCTATGACAGACAACTATCTACTGGGGCTTTGGGGGAAAAAAATAAAATAAATAAAATTTAAAAAAAAAAGAATAAATATAAAATATATAGTCTAGGACAACATAAACCAAATGTTAATTTCTGTGTGGAGGGATTTCAAGACATTTTAATTTTTTTCTTTTTTGCTTATCTGCATTTTTTTGGATTATTTTTTCCCCATTGAACATGTATTTCTTGTGCAATGCAGACAGATTTCCTTCCGTGGGTCCCAGCGAGCGCCCCCTGATGGGAGGCCGGGAGTGTATGGCCGGTTGAACCATGTGCTCCTGACTCTGAGGCATTGTGAGAATGGCCACCAACCCTTGTGAGGCCAGTTCAAGCTGCTCATTAAGAATTCCAATTGCAGCATGTCCCCACCCTGATTTGACTCTCCAACTCGACTGGTCTTCTGGGCGAGAACTCAGTGACCCAACACCTTGGTATCCAAATGCTCAGTTGCTTCATAACCTGGGTTGGCCCAGGGTTGGCCACCGCCCTCCCTCGAGGGAAAATGCTGTTTGTACAAGTTGGCACCTGGTAAAGCTAACCTCGCTAAAACCGCAGGGCCTTCCCACCTCCCAGGAACACCCTCCCGTGGAAGGGGGTGACAGCCAAGACACTCTGTTGCTCAGGTCAGGCCCTACCACACATATGCAGCTGTGATTCTGTATGTTGGCAAAAAATAAAAAATAAAAAAAAGGCTGTCACCATGGCAACCCAGGCTGGCTCAGCCTCTGGGATCAGTCCAACACCCAGGGAAAGAAGGTGGGGTTTGGAGGCAGAACTAACACAGCCTGGCTGTCTGACCTCAGGCAAGACATTCAGTTTTTCTCTGCCTCAGTTTCTACATCTGTAAAATGATGCTGAAGCTCCTTATCCTATCCACCTCCAGGACTAAAGAGGAATAATCTGTGAACCGTAAAACACAAGAGGAGTAGAGTGTCCCTAGCTTTGGTTTGTCCCCAAATTGCCGTGTGTGACTTTGGGCAAATCACTTAACCTCTCTGTGCATCAGCTGCTCTATTTATAAATAAGAAAGTAATGTCCACTGTGATAACTTCCCAGATGTATTGTCAGGCGCCTGTGAGAATCCCAGAATCTCAAAGTTGGAAGATATCTTAGCCCTTACTACCCATGCAAGAATCCCTTTGATAAGTTCTCTGACTGAGGTACTCGTCCCACCTCTGCTTGATTACCTCCAGGGGCGGAGAGCTCATGACTGCACAACTTCCCAAGCAGCCATCGCTATGTGACACTAATTATAAGAAAGTTCTTCTGTATAGTATGTTTTACAGTTAAATATTTGTTTACAAGTATTAGTAATGCTTTTCAGAGCTATTTCTGCTCCTGATTTTACCAGAAGGCTTGCACAGGGTAGAAATTAGCAGTGATCAGCAAGGAGCAGGTGCAGGCCCAGCTCTGGAAGTTTGTGGCTTAGTGTGGTGGAAGGAGTATAGGGTCACACACTCTAGGATAAAATCCCACTTTGTCCACTTACTGGATGGTTGACCTTGGGCAAGTCATATTACCTCTCCAAGCCTCAGTATTGTGATCAGTAAAATGAGGATAGAAATACCTACCTCGTAGTATTGCTGTGAGAATCCAGCATGACGGCACTTCTTATTAAGCTTACAACCCTAACTTCCCAGACGGGATTCTGGAGGTTAAGGAGCAGGGGTTACACATTCCTCTGCCACCCCCTCAACAGCATGTCTGCCCTCTCAGCCCCATCTGGCGCTGTAAGCCCTTATGGGCCATGGCTGTGCTCCTCTCAGAAGGAGGGAGAAGTTCATCTCCCCCTCATGGGGGCGCCTGCAGCACAGCCTGGAGCAGCTGGTGGTCCATATGTCAGGGCCTTCTCCCTCTCAGGCCTGTACCAGGGGCCGTAAAGGGAAGACAATGCAATGGTTTCAAGACCAACTTCACCCCTCCCTGTAATTCACCCGCCTCAAGGCCAGCACCCTTCCCTGCCCACAGATTCAGTGGACACTAAGCAAGTGCCCAGGGTGGCACTTGGTGAAGGCCCTCAACTGTACCAGCGTTTTAGTAGGACTCTCATATAGGGCAAAAAGCCTCTAGACCCCAAAAGAATGTAGTCTGGCAGTGGACTTCCAGGCACGGTGACAGGAACTTGGGGAAAGCTATTGTCGGGTAGGAAAGGGGTCCTTTGTCCTCAATATGAAAGGAGTCAGGACACCTGGTCTAGTTCTACCATTGACTCGCTGTGGGCTTTCTGGAGCCCGTGGCTTAATTGTTCCCTGCCTTGCTTTCCTCATGTGAAAAATGACAGGTTGATTCCCGAGACCTTCCCTGCTTCAGCATTCTAGGTTTTCCCATTCGTCGGATGCAGGATGAGATGGCAAAATCGCCATGGACCTCTCTCGGAGGTGAGCCGCTGACCGCTCGCTCCTCTTTGCTTCCTCCACAGACGAGTACCTCCGAGTCCTCAATGTGGGTGTGGCCGAGGTGAAGAAATCCTTCCTGGGGCCCTTGTCCCCGTCCTGCAAGATGGTGCCGATGATGAGGCAGTTTCTGTACCGGGTCCTACCTGAGGACTCCTACAAGGTCACCACGGGGAAGCTCCACGTGGCCCTCACCCGGCTCACGGATGGAGAGAGTGTCGTGGTTTCAGAGTTTACATCTAAGGAAGAACTCATTGAGGCAAGAAGGGAGTGGGGGCGGGGAAGGAGAGAGGTTGGGAGGCTGGTCCTGCTTCTCTTGACAGGCCCCTGGGATGGTCCACCTGTCTGCCTCATTTCGTTCCTCCTCTTTTCTACTTCCCTAGTCCTTCCCACCCTTCACCCTCCTGGCATCTCTCTGTGTCAGGCACACTGTTGGAGGAGATGGACACAGAGAAGCCCAAGACGAATCAGACTTGGTCACCATCCTCAGACTTCAACACCCAGAGTCTCCAAGGGCTCATCACCTCCTTTTGCCTCTGCCCTGCCCTGGGTGCTGATTCTGCTGCCTCTCAGAGGCCTGAGTGTGACCAACAGAGGTCCCCTGTCTTCTTTAGGGCCTCCCAGCCTGGGTTGTAATGTGTCCCCCGTGAATTACTCCCAGTTTGTGAGTCACAGGCCCCCCTTCTGTCTCCTCTCTTCTAGTGGCCCTTGATAAAAGTATTGAATTTTCAGTAAATGGGTTATCACTTAGGAAAGCACTCTAACAGTGCACTGTGCTCATCTCCTTAATATAAATTTTAGCTATGAATTATTATTGCTGGAGAGTGCGATGGATATGCCCAATTTTCTTTCAGGACAAAGGGGTTAGGCTGCATGGCCCTCCATCTGATATTCCACTCCCCTCTCTTCCCCCCAAAACAAGGCTCTTACCACCCCATCCTCACATTCCCACACTGGCTTGGCTGTGATCCTGGGGGTGGGGATGAATAGGCAGTGGGAATGGATACCTCTCCACCTACCTCATGTCCCCTGGGTTTGTTAGCACCCAGCTCTGTAAGACTTTTCTGTTCCCAGCCCTGTCCCACCACTTCCCACTCTTGCCCATGCCAACCCTAGCAAACCACACACAAAGCAGGCCTCTGTGCCTTTGCACGGGCTGTGCCCTCTGCCTGGGATGCCCTTCCCTTCTTCCTACTCCATTTCACCTGCTTGACGAGACTCCAGTCACTTCTGCCAGGGAACTTTCCTTCATCACCTGCCTGCCCTACACCCCCCTGGGTTGGGTGGTTCTCCTTTGGGGCTACAATGCCCATGCTCACCTCCATCACCCCATGTACTGTCACCTGCTTGCTTGTTCCTGGTCTGTGAGCAGAGCCAAGGGTGGGCATCTCACCCTCCTTTGATTCCAGGGCCTGGGCCCAGACAGACACACACTAATGATTGTTGAATCCCATTGGATTCAAGGAAATTTGGTGCTAGAAGGGACCCTGCAGATCATTGAGGTCACCTCTCCCTTGAAAGCTGGGACGTCAGGCCCAGACTGACCAAGTAGTTACCAAGTCGGTTACCAAGGACCCAGCTAGCTAGGTCCAGGCCAGGAAATGAACTTGGCCCTGCACTTCCCAGGGCAGTGCCTCTGCCTTGGGTTTAAGGAAGGCCAGGCTGTTGGTGGCCCAGCGGCCTGCTGGTGAACCCTCTCCACCCAACCGCAGGGCCTCGGGCCTCTCAGCTCTCTTCTCTTCCCACAGGCCCTGTACTGCAGCTGCTTTGTCCCCGTGTACTGCGGCCTCATCCCCCCGACTTACCGTGGCGTGGTGAGTGCTCTGGCGGAAGAGGGGAGCAGGCCGGGATGCAGGGATGGCTCAGGGTCCCTGTGACCCACATCCAGGAAAGCAGAAGGATGGTCTTGGAATTCAGTGAGAGGACCACGAGTTGGAAAGTTTCTTGTGTTTTTCTACTCAGAATTCCCAAACAGATGGATTTCTGGGTCTTTAAGCTGAACTTTCCCGGCTGAGTTGGGCTTCTCTCTGGTTGGACCCACCAACCCACCACTGGGCCTGGAAAACCAAGATTTCACAGGCTTGCTGGATTTTCCCAGACTTGACAGAGAGCATAGACTACGGACTCTGGAACTCTGGGACCTGGAACCTTGAATAATGGGAACCTTCGAGGTCATCTAGGCTAGTGCCTCCCAGACTTTAAGGTGCCCAGGAATCACTCGGGGGTCTTGTGAAATAATGCAAATTCTGGGTCTGGGGTGGGGCCTGAGAGTCTGCACCGCTCACCAGCTTCAGCTGTTGCCGGTGCTGCTGGTCCACAGACCACACTCTGAGTAGGAGGTCTCATCCGTGCCCCCTCCTCATTTTATATGTAGAGAAAATGAGATCCAGAGACTAGGATTCCGCTGGTAGATGGAGCCCGTGTTGCATCTGCTGTAACCCTCAGGCCCCTCAGAGAGTTGGAGCCTTGGTATTTGTTGTCCTTCATTCATAGTTGGGGAATCAGAAGCCCCAAGAGGGGAAGGGACTTGAGGGTGGGCACATGGTGGCCGGTGGGGAGGCCATTGTCGGGGTGCTCTGCAGAGTGTTGAGGGTGCCTGACCTCAACAGAGGGAGGCACTTTGGACCCGTGGCAGTGTGGGGAGGGGATATTTCACAACTGCTCAGACCCGCTCCATTCCCCAGCCCCGCCCTCAGCAGTTGAGTGGCTCTCGGAGGGGAAGCTGTGACGGGGAGCGTGCTCCTGCTGTATCCAGAGTATGGGTGCCCCTTCCCCACAGAGGCCTGGGAGCCCCAGTCTCAGCACTATTAAGAAGGCTGAGGGGAGACGGTGCAGGGACAGAGCACCGGGCTGGGAGTCCAGAGGCCACCGTGCACTCATCGAGTGACCTTGGGCACACCACTCACCCACCCGGACCTTGGTCTCAGGGCTTGTCCTGAGGGACCTGTTTCCTTGGTGGATTCCCAAGTCAGGGAGAGGACCCCTGACCCCTGATGGGCATCTCTCTCTCCGCCCCCCCACAGCGGTACATAGATGGGGGCTTCACGGGCATGCAGCCCTGCTCCTTCTGGACCGACTCCATCACCATCTCCACCTTCAGTGGGCAGCAGGACATCTGTCCCCGGGACTGCCCCGCCATCTTCCACGACTTCCGCATATTCAACTGCTCCTTCCAGTTCTCCCTGGAGAACATCGCCAGGATGACCCACGCCTTGTTCCCTCCAGACCTGGTGGTGAGAGACAGGAGGGACCTGAATGGGGCGGGGAATGGGAGAGGGTGACCTGCTGGGGGTGGGCTGGGGGAGGCAATGGGGCCCACTCAGTTCCATCTGTCTCCTCCCTCAAATGGTCCCTTAAACTTCCTCCTAGACCTGTGCCCTGGCCTTGCCGCTAACCAGCTATGTGACCTTGAACAAGTGCCCTAAGCTCTCCCAGCCTCGATTTTTCTCCCCCGTCAAACGAGATGATGCCAGAACCGCTGATAGGAATGTTCACTGAACTCTGACATGCAGTGTAGGGGTCAGCAAACTATGGCCCGCAGGCCAAATCCAGCCCGGGGCTTGTTTTGCAGAGCATGTGAGCTAAGAATGGGCTTTCCCTTTTTAAAGTGAAGTAAGAAAAAGAAGAAGAAAACATGCGACAGAGACTATATGCGGCCCACAAAGCCCAAAATATTTATTATCTGTCTTTTACAGAAAAGGCTTTGTGGGCGATCTTTCATGTAATCCTCCAGCATCCTCTGTGATAGATACTATTATTATTTGCCTTTTACAGATGAAGAAACTGAGGCTGTGAGCGGTTACATCCACATAGCCACACAGCCAATAAGTGGCAGCTCTGGGATTTAACCCAGTCTCCAAACTCTGCTTGTCATATGGCCCAAAAGCACCTTCCCTGGTTCCACTACAAACATCCCACCCTGTCCCGTCCAGGGGAGGCTGATGGTCAGCTGTGGATGCTTTAACACACTAACACAGCATCACTCCGGACACAAGATCAGGAATTACGCCCGCTTCTTAGCAGATGGTGAGGAATGGACACATTTTGAAAAACCCAACAAATAAAGCTCAAGAGCAATGAAAGTAGCTGCTCCGGGTGAGGGGACAGCGGCTCTCTCCGTTGCTGCAGCCTGAGTTATGCTCCTGGTGTCCCCGCCTTGCAGATCCTGCATGATTACTACTACCGCGGGTACGAGGATGTCGTTTTGTACTTGAGGCGGCTGAGTAAGTGCCAAGTGGGGCCCGGAGGAAGGGGAGGCTTAGAGGGAGAGGCAAAGACAGGAAGCAGAAGAGCTGAGTAAAGGAGATTTCCCCAAAGTTGTGAATTGGAATTGCCCTTCTGGAGAGCAAGAAATGAGTGCTGGGACCTGACAGCCTTCATTGTCCAGGCTGGGCCACAGTGGCCAGAAATTAGGATCTCTGTGGAAAAGGAGCTTCGGGGTTAACAGGTGGGACAGCGTCTAGGGCTTTTGTACAAATATATTTCTGGATTTAAAAACCATATTTAGGAAATACGTAGCTCGTATCTCCTTGGAGAATTCCATTTTGATGTCATTTCATTTTCTTCCATTTTCTTCTTTTTCCAATAAAACCGTATTGTTAATGTAGAACTAGATGTGATTAGTTTATATTTGTGTAAGACTTTGAGTGACATACTGATCAGCAAACGAGAGAGAAGAGCGCTTGCCCTGTGTTGGTCTGGAATGTGTGGTCCCCACAGCTGTATATCATCTGCGCGTTAGAAGGAAGATTCCAGTGACACACTCCAACTCCATGAAGGCCATGGCAGACATCTTTGTTAAAAGGAAAGAAAAAAAACTCTACCATATTTAGAATTAATTCCATAGAATATTTTTCCAGAAAAAAGGATTCCTGGATCAAAGGGTGTTTACCTAATGTTATAGCCTAAGTTTTATTCCATGTTGCCATGTGGTCTTCGTAACTGTCTTTTTGGTAGTTGTATAATATTCCATAACAGTTGTACAGAAAACTTTGATCATTCCTTTGAGTTTCCAAATGCTCACGATTATAAGCAATGCTGTGGTGAACTTTTTGTGTATAAAAATATTTTAGCAGTGAGATTAAAGGGTTGAATGAGGGTTTTTTCCTAGGATATGTTTACCATTTTTTTTTTCCTTCAAAATTGCTTCGTGTTTTCTCAAGCTCCCCTTATCCTAATCTTTGCTTTCTCCTGGGTCCATTCTCCCAGCCAGGGGGGTGGGGAGCAGGAGAACAGGATGGAGAGAAGGTGGGCTCTGGGGGCAAGTAGCCCTGGGCCAGGATCACCATCCCCCAACCTGTGTGAGCTCAGGAAAATCACTCCCCCTCTCTGACTCTTGGATCCTAATCTGTAAAAAGATTTAGATCCTGGTTCTTGACACATACTGCGTCATCTTGAGCAGGTAATTAATCTCCTGGGGCCTCAGTTTTCTCATCTGTACAAGGGGGCTGATTGTAGAAGCTACCTCAGAGTTTTATTCCTAGCCACGGTCAATGTGGCCCACTGCCAGCTCTGACATCGGAGATAGGAGCCCCCAACCCTCTCTGCAGGACAGACTCCTCCTAACCCTGACTCTCCTCTGACAACTCTCCCATCCTTCACACTTACAAAGGTGACAGCTGTGAAAACTGAGCCCTATGTGTCCAAAAGGAAGACCACCTGAGGGGTGTCGGTGGAGGGTGGAGATAGGGCGTCACCTCCAGAGCCTTGGGAATAGGAGGGGTTGGCTAGGGCCTGGGCTCCTTTTCACCACCAGCTGGGGAGCCCCTCCACTCTTTCCTCAGTGATGGTGTATACCGGGGACCTGGGGTTGGGGGATCCCCTGGTTTGGGACTGGGATCTTGGAGCAGACACCTATGTCCTGCCCCAGGAGACCCCTCAACACCTCAGGTTACAGCCTGGCTGCCTGGCTACCTCCATATCTGTCCCTCCCCTAGAACTTTTCCTTTCTCTTCCTCTCGGGGCAAGCCCTGGGGAGAGTTACAAAGTGAGATGCTAAGCATCTCTAGTCTCTCCCGATTTTCAGTCGCCCCTCTTCCACCCTCTCACCCTCCCCCACTCTTTCACCCTTAGCTGGTGGGGACATTTTCACAGGTATGAATGGCTGCCCTAAACCAAGGATGAAACTCTAATAGTAGCATTTTGGGCATCCAGTAAAGAATTGGGGCAGTATGTGGAGGATGGCAGCTTTTCCCAATGGCGCTGGGATCCCTTCAAGTAGGAACAGACACAATTCATAAGGAAGAAAGTGTCTCGTGCCAGCTACCATCTATTTTTGCTTCCTCTTCCAATTTGCCAGTGTGTGCAAGGGTTTCTCAGTGGAGATTTCAGCTCCACCATCTAAATCCTATCGGGTTTGGTGGCGCTGGATTTTTCTCCTGGCACCAGATGTGAGCAGGAGATACTGACACATCCTGAGAAATTGCGGTTGGTGCCCAGAGCCACAATTCTGCCATCTGGGAACGGAAAACCGGAGTCCACTCCAGCCTCTCGCCCGACTGCTTTCTGGATGGGGGTCAGCTCAGCAGGAAGCCGCACCCTCGAGGTGTCACCCTCAACTCCTCGACTCACATCCTGGCCTCCTCTTTCTCCTCCCCCAGCTCACATCCACCTAATTATTCCTGCTGCCAGGCAAGCCTCCCTCTCCACCCTTGGCCTCCCCTGGCAGCAACCTTCTGCCAAAGGGAAGGGCGTGATTGCTGGCGTGCTTGAAAATCCACATTCCCCGCGTAGACGTGTGGACGGCGGCGTTGAGGGAGGTTGGAGCTCAGAGGATGCCGTGTCTAAAATATCCATCTGGCATCCAGGCATGCCTGGCCAGACCTACCTTCCTTCCTTCCTCCCTCCTTCCCGCCTTCCTGCCATTCTTCTTTCTCTCCCTCTCTTTCTCCCTCTCACAATTTGGTAAGTTTTCACACACACACACACACACACACACACACACACTCCTGTGAAACCAGCACCACAATCAAGGTGATCACACCCAACTCCCTTCACCCCCACGATCCCCACGCAACTCCTGATCCACTGTCTGTCATTAGAGATTAATTGCAATTTCTAGAGTTTTTGATAAATGGAATCTTACAGTATGAACTCGTTTTTTTTGGTCTGCATTCTTTCACTCAGTGTAATTGTTCTGAGATTCATCCATGTTATTTCATGGTATGAATACTTCATTCCTTTTTACATTCCATTCCATTGTGTGAATATAACACAGTTCATTTATCCACTCACCTGTTAATGGACATTTAAGTTGTATCCACTTTGAGGCTATTATGAATACAGCTGCTATGAACGTGCCTCATGCATGGTCTTTGTATGGACATATGCTTTCATTTCTCTTGGGTATATACCTAGGAGTTGAATGATTAGATCATATGGTAGATGTACATTATACAATAGATAAAATAATATTTAATTATATATTTACTTATATATTTATTATATAAATATATAATTTACATATACAAAATTGTGGTAAACATACATAACATAAAATTTACCATCTTAACCATTTTTAAGCATACAGTTCAATAGCGTTAAGTATATTCACATTGTTGTGCAGCCATCTCCAGAACTTTTTCATCTTGCAGAAATGGAACCCTGCCAACAACTCCCCATTTCCCCCTCTCCCCAGACACTGACAACCACCATTCTACTGTCTATTTCTATGATTTTGAATACTTCAGCTACCTCAAATAAGTGGAAACACACAGTATTTGTCTTTTTGTCGCTGGTTTATTTCACTTATAATGTCCTCAAGTTTCATCCATGTTGTAGCAGCTGATAGGATTTCCTTCCTTTTTAAGGCTGAATAACATTCATCGTGTGTATATACTGCATTTTCTTTTTTTTTTTTTTTTGTGAGGAAGATCAGCCCTGAGCTAACGTCCATGCCAATCCTCCTCTTTTTGCTGACCAAGACTGGCCCTGGGCTAACATCTGTGCCTGTCTTCCTCTACTTTATGTGGGACGCCGCCACAGCATGGCCTGACAAGCAGTGCATCGGTGCGCGCCCGGGATCCGAACCTGCAAACCCTGGGCCGCCACAGTGGAGCGCACGCACTTAACCGCTACGCCACGGGGCCGGCCCAATATACCACATTTTCTTTATCAATTCATTCATCGATGGACATTTGGGTTGCTTCCACCTCTTGGCTATTGTGAATACTGATGCAATGAATACGGCTGTGCAAACATCTCTTCGAGATTCTATTTTCAATTCTTTTGGATATATATGGGCTAAGACACATACCCAGAATGTATATTTAACTTTTTAAGAAACTGCCAAATTGTTTTTCAAAGTGATTGTACCATTTTACATTCTCACCAGCAATGTACGAGAGTTCCAGATTCCCCCAATTCTCATGGGCACTTGGCATGGTCAGTCTTTTTCATTTTAGCTATTTTAATAGGTGTGTGGTGGTATTAATTGTGGTTTTAATTTGCATTTCCCTTATAACTAATGATGTTAAGCATCTTTTCATTTGCTTATTAGTTGTCTAAATAGCTTCCTTGGTGAAGTGCCTGTTCAACTCTTTTGCCCATTTCCTCCTAGACCTTTATTTTTTCAGAATAATTTTAGATTTAGAGAAAAAATATGAAAATAGTACAGAGAGTTTCTGTATACTCCACATCCAAATTTCCCTATTATCATGTCTCATGTTGGTTAGATGCTATAGTATAGTACATATACAATTTGGTATGTAGTATGGTATATTGTTTATAATTAGTGAACCAATATTGATAAATTATTATTAACTGAAGTCCATACTTTATTCATATTTCCTTAGTTTTTACCAAATGTCCTTTTTCTGATCCAGGATCCCATCCAGGGTACCACATCAGACTTAGTCGTGATGTCTCCTTTGCCTCCTCTTGTCTGTGACAGTTTCTCAGACTTTCCTCGTTTTTAATGACCTTGGCAGCTTTGAGTGATATTTTGTAGAATGTCCCTCAACTGGGGTTTGTCTGATGTTTTTCTCGTGATTAGACTGGGGTTATGGGTTTGGGGAGGAAGACCACAGAGGCAAAGTGCCATTCTTATCACATTATATGAAGGGTACACGCTGTTACACGGCATTCCACTGATGATGTGACCTTGATCGCTTGGCTGTGGTGGTGTTTGTCAGGTTCTCCACTGTAAAGTTACTCTTTCTCCCCCTTCCCGGACTATGCTTTTTGGAAGGAAGTCACCATGCACAGCCCACACTTAAGGAGTGGGGAGTTATGCTCCACTTCCTTAAGGGCTGAGTATCTACATAAATTATTTGGAATTCTTCTGCCTGGGAGATTTGTCTCTTCTCCCCCATTTACTTACTTATTTGATCATTTGTTTGTATCAGTATGGATTCATGGATACTTATTTTATACTTTAGGTTACTATTCAGTTCTACTTTATTTATTTTGTTACTCAAATTGTTTCAGCTTTGGCCACTGCGAGCTCTTTTGGTTGTCTCTTTTGCCCATTTTAAAAATCAAATTGTTGGGGCTGGCCAGGTGGCATAGTGGTTAAGTTCACGTGCTCCACTTCGGTGGCCTGGGGTTTGCAGGTTCGGATCCCAGCTGCAGACCTATGCACCGCTCATCAAGCCATGCTGTGGCAGGCATCCCACATACAAAATAGAGGAAGGTGAGCACAGATGTTAGCTCAAGGCCAACCTTCTTCAACAAAAAGAGGAAGATTGGCAACAGACGTTAGCTCAGGGCTAATCTTCCTCACAAAAAAAAATCAAATTGTTTATTTTCTTATTTAAGAGATTTTAGTTATTCTAGATAAATGCCCTTTATCAGACATATGATTTGCAAATATTTTCTCCTAGTCTGTGATTCCTCTTTTCAACTCCTTAACAGTATCTTCTGGAAAAGAGTCTTTAATTTTGACTGGATCCATATTATTAATTTTTTTCCTTTATGGAGCATGCTTGTGGTGTCATATCTAAGAAATCTTTGCCTTACTCAAGATCACAAAAAGATTTTCTCCTATGTTTTCTTCTAAAAGTTTTATAGTTTTTTGGTTTTTCATTCATGTCTATGATCCATTTTGAATTAATTTTTAGATAAGGCGCAAAGTGTGCTCTCTTCAGCAGCACATACACTAGATAGGGTACGAAGTATAAATCAAAGTACTTTCTTTTCACATGGACATCCAGTTGTTCCATCATTGTTTGTTGAAAAAACTATGCTTTCTCCATTGAAATGGCTCTGCACCTTTGACTAAAATCAGCTGTCTGTATATGTCATGGGTCTATTTCTGGACCTTATATTTTGTGCCATTGATAGATTTGTCTTTACATCAATACCATACTGTCCTGATCACTGTAGCTTTATAATAAATCTTGAAACCAGATAGTCTTAGGAATCCAACTTGGTTCATTTTCAAAGTCGTTTTGGCTATTCTAGGTCCTTTGTATTTCCATATGAATTTTAGAATCAGCTTGTGAATTTCCACACAAAAAGCAATCGTGCTATATTTCTCTTGTCAACCTATTCTCTCATCCTCTGCAATTACCACTCTCCCTGATCCCCAGCAAAGGACCTTGCCTCCTACTTCACAGAGAAAACGAAAGCCATCAGAGAGATGTTCTCTCAACTTTGTGCTACCAAATACACAGACCCACTGCTCCCTGTTCCCCCTCCTTCCTAGCACATTAAAGAAAGCATCCCTCTTCCTGCCTAAAGTCATCCCTCCACCGGTGCTCAGACCCCTTCCCCATCTCAGGACTCACCAGTTATCCATGATCCCCCCTCTCTCTTATATTCCAACCTCCACCTTTCAACTGGATCCTCACCAGCAACTTTACATCTACCCTAGTCTTGCCTATTTAAGAAAACTTTCCCTGGGTTCACCTCCCCCTGTCTCCTGACTCAGTCCTGGCTCCTCTCTCTTCCCACTCTGCTTTTCCATCCTAGGGACTCTCCTCCACAGCCACCATCACGGCTTCAGTTACCACCCATAGGAGGGGCTCCCAAATATACTCTGACCCTCATCTCCTCTCTGAGATCCAAACTCATCCATCCCACTGCTCCCCTGTCCTCTCCTTGGACATCTCCAATGCCCCTAAACTCAATATGTCTCCAAACAGCCTCATAACCAGTGCTTTCTCCACTCCTCCCCAGACCCATCCCCTCCACGGTCATATTCTCAGCCAATGGCACCAGCATCCATCCGATTGTGTAAGCCACATACCTCCCCTCATCCCCCAAACAGTCCATCACCAGTTCTCATTTATCTTACCCCCTAAACAGAATCTTCTACTTCTTTCTGTCTCCTTCCAGGTACAAGCCCCAAACACCTCTTACAGCACCCTGACAGGTTTCCCTGGGTCCCCTGTGCCCTTCTCAGTGAGTCTCCACACAGCAGCCACAGTGATCTTGTCAAAACCAGAGGCAGGTCAGCACCTCCCTGCCTCTAAGTCTTCATGGTCTCCATGAAAATCAAGTGTCCTCAGTGCCGTCCCCCAGCCCTTGTGTGGTCTGGCCCCTGCCGCCTCCTCAGCCCCATCTCCCACCACGGTGACCCCAACCCTGCTCCACCCACACTGACCTCTCAGGCCCTCACCCTCCTCGTGCTCCCTCCAACCTGTGGCCTTAGTGCATGCTGTTCTCTCTGTCTGAGATGCTCCTCCTCATCACAGCATCACCACCACCTGGACCACTCGGCCTTCGGATCTCAGTTCAAATATCCCTCCCTCAGAGAGTCCTCCCGATTAACTCCTCTCTGCTCCCCTCTCTCTCAGTACCACGCTCCCCTCTTGTCTAGTACTTGTCTTGGCTAAAACTTGAGGTTATTTGGGTGGTCAACACCTGCCCCCATGCTAGACTCTAAGCACCAAGACGCCAGGAACCATCACACCTGGTTTTGTCTCCTTCACCTCCTCAGTCCTGGTGTAATGCCCAGCACATATAGATGTTCAATAAATATCCATTGAATAAGTGAATTAATATACAATTACTCAATATAAATTCAAGTAACTAAAGAAAGGCCATTGAAAGGTACTAATCCTGTTTATGAAAATAATTTGAGAAACCATTTTTTGCTGATGGCAGGAGTTAGTAATACCCCTGTGATGCCACACCATTGTTTTTCCCAGATGCTGCGTACCTGAATTCTCCCTCCAAGAGAGTGATGTTCCCCCGCGTAGAAGTGTACTGCCAGATAGAGCTCGCCCTCAGCAATGAGTGCCCTGAACATAGCCAACCAAACCTTCAAACAAAACAGGCTAATCGGGAAGAATCTATACAACTTCACACACAGTGGGCTCCGAAAGGGGAAGGAGGGGGTGGCCATGGTCCACCTGTGTCCCCACCTGTGCAGACTCCTGAATCTACATGTGAGAGGCCTGTGGAGTCACCTGATTCGCCGCCTGTCTCTTCATGTGAGCAGTCGCCTGCATCGCCCCTTCCCTCTTCATCATCACATCCTCCAACTGACTTGCCACCTGTATCCCTCTCAGCTGTGCACTTGCCACCCAGCTCAACACCTGGGCTGTCGCCTGTATCACCACAGCAGCAGGTACAACAAGCGACTGGATCACCATCCAGATCCCCACCCTCCTGGTCCCCTGTGTCACCCAGGCCATGCCTGGGGCCTTCGGCTGTGGGGGCACCTCAAACATTGCCCCTATGTTCTCCTTCAACATCACCCACACAGCCACCTGTGGAGGATCTGGGCCCAGAGCAACCCCAAGGTATGGACCCTTCTGGCTCATGTCTGGAGCCCCTTAGCAAATGTGTAACTACATGGTGGCTGATCACCATTGCTTCAGAGGGGCACATTGGTGGTGTTAGCAGTTAGCTTTAGTGGCTGTCCCTATTATGAGGACAGGCCCCCAGTAGAGGTCTGTGTATTTGACGTTTGTCCATTTCATTAGTCCAGTGATTCTCAGAAGTGTGGTGCCGGACCAGCAGCAATAGCATCACCTGAGAACTTGTTAGAAATGAGAATTCCCAGGCTCCACTGCAGACCTGCTAAATCACAAACTCTGGGGTGGAACTCAGCAGTCTTTCTTTTTTACAAGCCCTCCAGGTGATTCTTTTGCCCACTAACATTGGAGAACTGCTGTTCTAGTAGATTTTTGTTGTGAAAGCCACTGTGCCCAGGCAGTGCTACTCAAAGAGTGGTCTGTGGACCACTGCCCGTCCCTGAACTATTTGTTACTAGTTCACAGTGAAATGAGTGTAGAAATTGAGAGTAAGCATTCAGAAATGTTTATAGCAATAAGATATTGCCATGACATCCAAGAGCTTGGTTGTTTTCCTACTAATTCATTTGTATTGTATTTTGCAAAAGTACTAGTCCATTATGGATTGCAAATAAGATTTTTAAAAAGTGGTTCTTCACTGCAGATAGTTTGAGAAGCACTGCTGTAGGGGTTGCAAAGATGAAAAGATCTCGATTCCTCACTCTCAGGAACTCTCCCCTCCAGCAGAGGGGATGACATGGATACCAACCTCAAAAATACAAGATAAGGGGCCAGCCATCATGGTGTAGTGGTTAAGTTCAGCGTGCTCCATTTTGGCAACCTGGGTTCATGGGTTCGGATCCTGGGCACAGACCTACACCATTCGTCAGCCATGCTGTGGCGGCAACCCACATATAAAGTGGAGGAAGATTGGTGTAGATGTTAGCTCAGGGCTAATCTTCCTCAAGCAAAAAAAAAAAAAAAAAACAAGATGAATTATTAAGTCCTATATAACTAACAAAAACAGTGTTGGAGGTATTCATAGAGAATAAGATCGCTTCTCTCTGGGGGAATAGAGAAGGTTTCTTGGAGGTGACAGGCGAGTTAAAGTGGGCAGGATTTTGACAGTCATGGTTTGTGGGATGGGATTGGCTGGAGTAGAAAGGGCATTTTGGATTTTGTTTATTCTAGAAGCTCAGATGCAGAGAAGGAAAGTGTAGTTACATTCAGGATATAGAGGACACCTGTTTGGCCACCATGGATGGTCTGGGTGGGGGCAAGGAGACAGGAGCCCAAATGGTGGACTGAAGCCAGGTGGTAGGGTCCTCCTGGTCCATCAGCCAAGCTTCAATAGTTATGATGGTAAATGGTGGCACAGATTAGCAAGGTTTCCTTCTTTGGCCCAAGTCAGGGGTGACTTTTTCTCTGGAATGGGTTTACTTTGATTCTTTCAATCACAAGGAGACAAAAATGTCAGGACATTAAGAGTCAGAAAATTGGTCAAAGCATTTTACATGCTCTCTTACTTCCTGTTAGGTGAAATGCATTTATGTTATGTTATCACACCTGTGCCTAAAGGTAGCCATCTTCAGGGGCCTGAGCGGTCCTGGGCCCTGAGTCGGCATTCCTCACTCATACTGGGGGTGGACAGAGGACACAGACAGCCCAGTGGTTCTCAACTGGGGGCGATTTTACCCCCAGGAGACATTTAGCAATATCTGGAGACATTTTTGGTTGTCACCTAGTGGGTGACATCTAGTGAGTAGAGGCCGGGGATGCTGCTAAACATCCTACAATGCACAGCCCCACAACAAAGAATTATGTGGCCCTTAATGTCAGCAGCACTGAGGTTGAGAAACCCTGTTCCGGCCTCCAGCTAAGCTTCAGCAGGAACATCCTAGGCTGTCTGTGGGGATGGGCAGAGCCCAGCCCCCTCAGGGGTCAGTGTGTTCAGTCATTGATGGCCATGGTGTTGTTGGGGGACAGGGGGTTGCAGAAAGTCCTAGAAAAATCCATAAACAAAGGAACTGCAGTAGATTTGGGAGAACCAAGGCCCCCAAATGAAAGAACTTCAGGTAGAGGAATTTAAATAGATTCTATATTATTTTTATTTACATGTATTACATAATTACATATTACTCTTCATATATTGTATATCCTCATACTCATCAAAAACCTGCAAAGGGCTTACTTAAGAACAATGGTCATAAAACTATTAATATTTTCTATTCCAAGAAAAAAGAAAAAAGCATTACAGAAAGCAGGTGATGGAAGTTTCAGGCCTCTATGGGGGATTTTCCTGAAAACTTTCCCTAACGTGGCTACTTTTCGTGAGGGAATTGTTATAATCTTACATCAGGGGTCAGCATCTGTCCTTCTGCTGATGTCACTGCCCTGGGTCTCAGTCAAATCCAACAACATGATTCTGGTCCTAAACAGGAGAGTTTGGGAATGAAGGAGTTCTTTATTGTTCCTAAACACTCTCGATTACCTCCTGTTGTTATTTCAAAAATGACGAAGTACCCCTCCCCACATCTCACTCGTGTATCCTGTATCTTTACTTTGCACTGTAGCCCCCCTTGACTCTTCAAATCCAAAAAGCGCTGTGCCTCTGGTTAATGTGAAGGAAACCACCAGCGAGCCTCACGCAACGTAAGTTTCTCCTGAATTTGGAATGTGGTCTGGGGTGGGATGCCCGGCTAAACCATACTTTCCATCTCTGTAGCTGCCCGAGGGACACGGATCCTTTGCTAGTTTGTGTGATCACAGTCCACCCCTTTACAGTTCACACACCACCACCCCCACCCCCCCCCATCTCCCTTCTTCAGAGGAGCGATCCAGGGCAAATGAGCCTGCTCATGCTGACAGTGTCATTCTCTTCAGCCCCCTGCTGTGCCCCCTGGGGAAGGCACCTCCTCTGAGTGCAGTGGGAGAATGCACACCCCCAATATGTTACTCTCTGGTGATGCCCCAGTTCCAGAGAGCCAGCAGGCATGCCACATCCTAGCCTCAGGTAGCCCCTGCACGGTATGAATGAGGGACTCCATCAAAGGCCTCCCTTACTCCAAATTATTTTCTGTCAGCATGATAAGGGGACTAAGATTCTTGTAAAGTGGCCCCAGAAAATAGTTTTTATAATGCACATCGATTGTCTGGATTGTGTAACATGTACTCCGTTATTATCTTTGCAGTCATTATGAGAGGGCCTGGGGACCTGTATTTTTTGAAGTTCCCTGGGGATCACATTACCCAGGCTCCCTTGCTGGCTGGATACCAGCTGGGTTAGCCAGTGGAAGGCCCCAGCAGGAGATCAGAGGCTGGGTCAAGGGTGTCTCCCTGCCACCGACCTCATCTCTCCTGCCTTGGAGCAGCTCTGGCGAGGGCTGGGTTTCTCCACAGCCACAGTTACAGCTATTGGAGAGCAAGGCCTGACGCACTCTTACTTTTGATGTTCCCACTCCATATCATATCAAATACGTTAAATATACACCTGCTTCTCACATTAAGTATAATTTTAATTATAAAACTTTTTGAAAGAGTTTGCATAAATTCAATCATTTTGTGCTTGGGTATTGTGCATTTTGTTCACGTGATTTAAACTTTATCATATTGAATATAACTGTATAAAAGTTTAATTGCATTTCAGTTAACTAGTTGGCATGATGTTACTTAGATAAATATTCATTGATTACAAAATAAAAGTTCCCGCTGGTGAGCTCTGATGCACGGCCAGGGTTGAGAACCACAGCGCTGGTGTGTCTGAATGCCTGCAGAGCTGGACCAGGTCCCTGAGAGTGGAGGACACAGGACAGACCATTAACAAACCACTCACTTCATCTCTTTGCCCAGGGAGAGCCCTGCTGGAGACTCCAAGTGGGTGAACAAGGTATTCAAGAAGAGCAAACAGAGGACAAGCGGCACCAGAAGGGGCTTCCCAAGACATCCACGATCCAAGAAACCTGGCAGCGAAGTGCAGTGAGCACGACTACTGTTTCTTAAACCCCACAGGGAGGAGCAGCTCCAGGAACAGCCTCAGGAGGGTTACAAGGCGTAGAGGGGGTGACAGTAAGGAGGGATTAGGAGCCAGGCTGTGGAGTCGGACACACGCATCATAAAATCCCCGCTCTGCCACAGCCTCCCTCGGCTATCATGCTTAGGACACGTGGTCTCTCTGAGCCTCTATTTCCTTATCTGTAAAATGGGGATAACACCAGCTCATAAGCTTGTTCTGAGGGTTTAATGAGGTCAACTATGGAAATTGCTTCACTAGTAATTCCATCACTATGGAAGATGTGCGCTAGCACTCAATAATTCATAGATATTATGCTTATATAACTCCCAGAGGTCAGCTTGCTACCTCTCAGCCGCTGAATAGAACTGTACTTAAAACCCAGAATAGACAGGCGTGTGCCCACCTGACCCTCAACATGTAGAGCTCCAAGCTGTTGCCAGCCTACAACTAAAAGCCCTAACGATGTAGGCCTGCTTCTTAGAGCTTTTTGACTCTATTATATTGTCGTTGATTTAATCAGTCCACCTTTACTGAGCTCCTGCTAAGTGTCAAGCCCTCTTCTTGGCTCTGAGGACACCAAAGATGAATTAAACTCCATCCCCAACTTTCAGGAGTTTACCCCAAACTGAACTTTAGACCAAAGACAAGAGTAAAATCTGCTAATTTGCCCAACTGTGATCCCCATATAAACCAAGTCAATTTTTTTACTAAACCATAACATTGTTTGTAAAGGCACATGCATATATATATACACACACACACACACACACACACACACACACACACACACACTTGCAAATTTAAAATGCCAGCCTCAGACACCGACCAAGCTGGGTATCATCTACAATTATTTTCCTGGATTGTCAAAGTATTCTCTGAATGGAACAGACTCACACAGCTATTTAAGTTGCTTCAAGCTTTTCTTGGTCAGAAAAATCCCTAAATCATTCTAAGCAACATCCTTCCGGGATACCTCTGTTCCACGCGGGGGTCCCTGGGCAGGCACAGGGATGTGTCAGGTAGATCAGGGTCACCCTGGCAGCCCCAGGCCCACTTCGAAGTCTGGACAAGTAGGTGCTTGGTGGGTGGTGGGGAACAGTGTGGCCGGGAGGAGATTCTCAGAGCTGCTGCAGGAAACGGGGCAGACCCATGTGTCGTTTTCTGGATTAAAGGATGGGCCGGGAGTGTGCAGGACCCAGCGGGCAGTTGGTGGTCCCTGGGGGTCATGGGATCAATGCAGGCTGGGATTAGTCTCACCCTGTTCCTGGGTCTCCAGCCCCAAGACTTCCCTGACCTTTGAGTGTCCGTATCTCTGCTCTAGGAGCTCAGGGTCAAGTTTGGTCATGAGAAGCAGGCAGGTCTGCTGTGGGTGAGGAAGCCTCCCTGGGCTGGAAGGGCCATCTGGGAGCAGGACCCAAACTCAGGTCCCTTCATTCCAGGGCCGGGCCTCTTCCCGTACATCAGAGCAGTGGGAACTACGCAGTTCAACCAGGGCTACGTTGGTTGATAAACTTCTGGGAATCAAGGTGCTTCATAAAGAAGCAGCATGTGACAAAAACAAGCAAAACGGCGTCCATAAGCTGTGGGAACACTGTTGTCAGTGGGTCACACGTCCTGCCCTAGGCAGGTGGTGTCGGTGGCGCTCCTTTATAGAACAGCTTATGAAACTGCCTGGAGGCAATTTACCAGTTGATGATCTTAAGCAATTCCATGCAAATCTACTGCTTTGAGCTTCAAAGACCAGGGAGGGGGTAGAAAAGAGAAGCTCAAAAATGATAGGCTTAGAGAGGGACGAGTGATCCAGGAAGAGGAGAAATCTGCTCGTTTCCTCCCAAACTGCAATCACAAGAGACACTGTCACCTCCATGGACTAGCCCTGTGTAAATTCCTGGTTCCCATCTGATATCCCTCCCAACAAAGAGAGAAGCTAGAATAAAAGCTACAGGGTGGGTGGTCCATACGTTAATCTGTGTGCGTGTGTTCTAAATCAGATGTTCAAATTCACGCTCTGATGTAGGCTGCATTAGTCAGTTATTGCTGCTCTGATAATGCTACATAACAAACAACACCCCCCCCCCCAAGATCTCAGTGGATTACAAAACAGACATTAGTTTTTCTCTCTCATGGGTCTATGAGTTGGCTGGGATAGTTCTGCTTAGTGTACAGATTGGGATCGAGTCTGCTCCCCTTTCATTCCAGGACCAGCAGTAATGCCAGCTGTGCCCTTCTTGGGAGCATAGCCAGATATATATATCAACCTAGCTTTCCTCCGCTGGCCGTGTCTCTCCTCCAGTGAGAGCCCAGTGTCATCTGACTGAGGTTCTATAACTGGCCTCAAAGTGGAAAGACAGATTGAGGAATGGAGAGACTGCCTACAGGCTACAAATGGAGAAAGAGGAGGTCCATCTTGCTAATTGCTACCTAGTCCCTCCTAATAGCCACCAAGCCTGTCAGACTCCCCAAATTTCCCCCATTAGAGAACCCCTCCTTTGAGTTACTGTGGAATCCCCCCTAGTCCAATGTGAATGTAGTAATAATAGCTAAAATTTATATAGTGCCTATTATGTTCCAGGCACCATGACACAGAGAGGTTAAGTAACATGTCCAAAGTCACACAGTGACTGCCACAGTGGTGGCAGAGCCAGGATCTGAATCCAGGTTGTCTGTCACCAGCATCTTGATGTTGACCATAAGTGATACAGCCTCCCAGGATAGACGGAGCCCTGGAGGGAGAGTCGGGAGTCATGGGTCTCATCCTAGTTTCTCCATTTGGGCAGGGAGAGTCCTGGAGGTGCACTCAGAGGTGCACGTGGAGATGTGGCAGGGGCGGTCAGGCCGGCTTGGGTGCCATGCTGACTAGTTGAACTGACTTGGTTGAACTTCGCTGCACTGCTAGGGAGTCATCACAGGGTTTAAACCTCAGAATGACACGGTCAGATTTGAAAATCATGCAAGAATGTGCACGTCCACATCCCAGCATTTCTCTGAGGTGGGCTCTGCAGGTGTCTTCCTGCAGTGTCTCAGAGAGGGCAACTGACTTGCCCAAGGTCCTACAGCAGCTGGAGGAGGGCTGGGAACTCAGGTCTTCCCATTCCTCCTTTTTGTCTCATTTCTCCTCACATGTGCTTCCTTGGCTTCTCACACCCGGGTCTGCTCCCTGCCCACTCGACTTCTCTCTGCTCTCCACTTCTCAGACGGTTTGGGTCACTACCAGCCTCATTTCAGCCGGATCCAGGACTACAGCTGCCCTGAGGTGTGGAACTCCCCAGGGTGTCCCTGCAGGCTGCGCACTGCCTGCCCTGTCCCGGAATGCTGTGGTGACCTCTGAGCCCCGTCGACCCAGCTTCCTATCTGCCCCCACCTGCCTCTTCCTGGGCACAGTCAAGGCCAACTCTATACTATGTAGTGCCTTGTGCACTAAGAAAACAGCACCCTTTCCTTGAGAACTTGACTGCCAGCTGCTGGAAGATTGTCATAATATATGATTTTGTTAGGACAGTTGACTGCCAATGGCTAGAAATCTTTATGAGTGGCATATTAAGCTACAAAACTGTATAAATAACATACACTAAACCATACAAATAACGTACCATATAAGTATGTCTATGAAGTGGCTGCCCCTTTGTGTTGGCAGGGTATCTTTGTACAGTGTGCAGTCTGCACAACTGTACTCAGCACTCTTGAGGCCATTTTACCTCTTCCCCCGTCCTGAAAAACCAAATATTACCCAGACTTGTGTAAACTGAATAATGTTTTAAACACTCTTTTATCAACTCCTGCTCTGCAAGTGGACTTCTCCCATTGCTAAAGACCTTTGTATAACAAAGTGAACCCTCTAACTGGCTTTTGGTATAAATTGAGATTTCCAATTTCCATGCATCAGATTGGCTATAATGGGGCCGGTCTACTTGTTCGGGCTGCCCAAGGCCTATGAAGCTGTGAGGGATGTTCTCGGTGGAAAGAAGGGGAGGGAAGCCCTAGATGAGGGCCTTAGAAATGATGAATCTGTGTCCTTTTTCTAGGAAGCTATGAGCCGAGAGAGAGAAGCTGAGCTGGACCGGGAGAGAACCAGACAACCCCAAGGCGAATCTTTCTCCCCTGTGCTCTCAGATGCCCTCCCCTCACCCTAGGCCTTTCATGGACCAGGGGGACACCCACTACCTGGGCGAGCCCCTCCTTGTCTAAACATCCCCTCAGCTTTCCTGTGTCCTCCCAGCCCTTCCACTGCCCTGCTCTGGACAGACGGACGGATGGAGGTCAACACGAACTGGACGGCACTAAAGAGCACACGGCACAGCCTCTTCCTGCTGCCTGGGCTCGGGGCCTTCCTCCCAACCCTGGCCTGAGTTTGTCTCTTTGTGGTGGGCCAGATCAATCCTAGCCCCCAAGACCCCATCCACAGGGCAGACTCTTGAGGGTCAGGCAGGACTGAGCCATAGACACATTTCCTCTTTCCTGTGGTGTCAAGAGACCAAGTTCTTCTTCTTTTGTTTTGTTTTGAATTCTCACAGTGTACCAGGCTCGACTTGGAACCACCGGACTCTGCCTCAGCTGCTCACTGGAATTAATGGAGTTGATCTGGCATGAGGCCTTTAAAAGCTCTGAGGGATTATGTGGTGTGGCCGCGTTGAGTGGGCCGCCCTGGACTTCCCCGAGTCCTGGCGTGGTTGTCGAGGAAACGGGAGACCAGCTGTCCCTTCCCCTCCCATGCCCCAGCCCAAATGAGGGCAGACTCTGTCTGCTGTTCATACCTCAGTGAACATGTTCTGTGAGAAAGACACTTTCAGCCTCAATTTTTCCAGCCTGTCCAGAAAAAAATTAGCCCCACTGGTACCCAGAATGTGGATAATCTCCAGCCCCAGCCAGACCCAGGAAGGCAGCTTGGGCTGCCCAAAGGCCTCAGATGCATTTGCTTAACAAATCCTGGAATACGAAACCCAGAGGACTGGGGAAGACAGCCCTGACCTGGCCAGGGAGCCTGAGGAGGATGCAGGCAAATCGAAGCCGTGGGAGGGTAGGGGATGGAGGCTGTGGCAAGGAGGCCAGATGGAGCCTACATCTAACAGGACCATGTCAGGGAACATGAGTCCACACAAGCCCCTCTAGAAGGTTCTGCCTGGAAGAACTTAAAGGGACCTTTGAGAGGCCTGAGAAGGATCAAATCTCAGGAGTTCTTGTGCCCTCTGCCTATTCGGATTCTGTGGCCCAGACCAGTCGAGGAAGCGCCCTAGGAGTTATGCGGTGAGAAGAGATGGGTCCTTGGAGTGGCCACCCGGCTGCAGTCTCCCGGCCTTTCCCCCAGGAGTGACATTGCTGTTTGCAGCAGGCTGTGTGCCCAGAGCCCTGCGACACGAGAGCCAGGGAGGGAGGGCTTCAGTCTCGCACAACTCGGGAGTGCTTGTTCCCTGATGTGCAAGGGAAAATGAACATCATAATAGTTGTTGTTTTAACTCAAAGCCTGTATTTACAGCCAGATGCTCTTCTGTTACAAGTTATGCTATAAGTATCAATAAATCCCCTTGAATATTTTCCTTCATTTTGCTTAATTTCCCTTTTCCCCATTTTGGGGTAATTAAGAGAATTGTTCTTGCATTACTTCCAGGCCTGCTAAATAAAAGACAGGACACATTGTTCAATTTGAATTTCAGACAAACAATGAATAATTATTTAGTACAAGTATGTCCCCAGGATTGAAATTATTTGTTGTAGATCTGAAATTCAAATTTAACTGGGCCACCCATATTTTTATTTGCTAAATTTTGCAAACTTAATTAGTTCCTTTGTCTTTTTTATGCCTTTTTTTAAAACCAACAATAATGGACTATTTTTTGATGTGCCAGTCACTGTGCTTTGAAATTGGGAGGTCTCACTGGGGCCAAGGCCAAGGTTGGATCACTCTCTGGTCATCCAAAAATATAGTCCTCCCTGTAACCCAGCTAACCCCCCCTGAGCTGTTCTTGGCTGACCCCATTCTCTCTGACTCACCCGCTTAGCCTCCTGATTTCTCAGGGTAAGAAATTAGGTTAATTATGTCCTGATGTCACTTGCCCACCTTATAAAATCCTTTCAAAGCAGCAAGGTCTCCCACGCACCTCAGTGCTCTTGAGCCTTCATAGTGTGAGTTGAGGGAGACCTACCCTCACACGGTGTCCCACCACCCTATATTCCTATTGGCACAAAATTCCCGTGACCAGTGAGGTCCATGAGCATCCCCAGGGCAGGGACTGTGTCTTTGCGTGTGTGTATCCCATAGAGCCAGCATCAGATGTAGCATATAGTAAGTGCTCAATAAATATTGGTTGAATAAATGAACTAATGGATTAGATAATGGATTAGATCATTAGAACATGAAAACAGAGGTTCTCGGAGCCGGCCTGGTTGTCCTCGGGTCGTGGCCTGGTTCTGTCTGTAGCTGGCTGTGTGACCTTGAACAAGTCACTTCCCCACTCTGAGCCTCAGTTTCCTTGTCTGAGAGATGAGGATAATGATGCTGCCCTCTCCTGCCCTCCTCAGAGCATTACCGAGAGCCTTCCAGGGTTGGGGAGTGGAAGGATGGTTTGAAAAGAAGACAAGCTGTGCACATAAGAGGGTCACCTTCCCCAGGATGTTGCTGGAAGGACTTGCGTGTTGTCTGAGAGAGGGGAAAGGAGGCTTCAGATGCCTTTCAATGGAGACCACACTTTCTGGACCAAAACCATACACTGTATTCTGTCCATTTTTATTCTGGTTTAGAGTGATAAGAGTTTGGGCACCAGAGTTTAGACTAATAAGACAGATGATGTAGCATCAAGACTGGCCCAGATTTTCATGGATATGCAATTAACTGTCACCTTAAAAGTCACAGAGTTGTAGAATGTCAGGTCTAGAGGGCAAGTATCTTGTCTCCAAGGTCATCAGCCTGTGGGCAGCTGGACTACAGCCCAGGTCCCTTGATGCCTGGCCCAGGGAAATTTTTTACTGCCTCATCAAGTTGGCACCCCGAGGATGGGACACCTGGAGATCATCCAGAGAGGACCCCCAGGCAGGGACAAGGAGGCTGACCCCACAGCCTTGCAGGCACCAGACTGGCTGGGATGTGCCAGGTGGGCCCCCTTCTCGCCTCCGTTGTTAATAATCCAGATCAGACGTTTGTGCAAGTCAGTTTCTTTATTTGCTCAAATAACACAATACAAACACAAGACTCAGATGCCAGCATCGGGAACTCATCAAATACTTATACAGCTTAAAGAACATCGTTCCAAATAAGAAAACACAAACAGAAGGTTCCTGACCCTCATTTCAAAACTGATTCTGATCCTTCACATTTTGGCACTGTGTTCCTGAACACTGCCTAAAATAAATCCACAAATAGCTCACCTCTCCCTCACTGCTTAGAAGCAGCAATAACACTAAATGGCTTTCAGAATGTTCTGAGTTGAACTTCCTAAAACGTTGCCTCAGGTTTGAGGCCAGTCCCATCTGAGTGCCCCAGGCCTCCCCGCCCTTGGCTTCTCCCTCTCCCCTGTCCCATCCTCTGGTGCTCGCCTCAGGTTCAACAGAGCTGTACAGTGTCCACCGATGGTAACAAGATGGAGTTTGCCATCCGGCTTTTAACACCCTCTCCCCTATGGCCGTGTCTTCCAGGAAATATCCAAGGGTTATGTTCACAGCCCTGTCAGGCATGCGTGTAGATAATGAACACATGGCAAACTGTCCACCTGAGCCAAGTGGTTGAAACTGCTCAGCTGTGTAGAAGGCAGAGCCTCTAGCAGCCCACACCTCAGCTTTGTGCTAAAACAAAAAGGAGCCCCTTTCTCAAGACACTTTACTGCCATCAGTTGGAAAATTGTCATCATAAATCTATAAATCCACAACGTCTAGGAAGAGAATAGCACTTCCTGGGGCATGATGCTCTTGAGCAGTGCACGTCCGTGCAACCATCCATGGTGATCCAGCTTGAAGCCCTCCGCCATTTCCTGAAAAGCTCTCAGATTGTAGCTATAATAAAAATAACAACATACACGGACATGGCACTATGTAATTTTTAAACTCTTCACGCTCATTTTCTCACTGACTCTTGGCAAAACCCCATGAGGCAAAAGAGGTACAAGGTACCACCTTCATTTCTTTGGTCATAGAATTATAGGACACAACATTGGAAGGATTCTGAGAGATCAGAGATCCCTAATCCATAGCTCTTCCCCACCTGAGGCCTGCAGAGTTCTTGAAAGGCATCTACAGATCCATATGGGCATTAAACACTGTTGGTCAACTGAATAAATTCTGTGTTGCACACAGATGCGCGTCTGTTTAAATGCATGTGCATGCTGGTGAGAGATTAAGCAAAAATTTATTTTTAAAACTAAGACTCATTTAAAACTAACATCTGAAAAAATGTCAGCAGGCCTTCTACATGATCGTGGGCATAGTTTTAGCCCCTGTGGATCAAGAAAATACACGATGATAAAAAAAAATAAATAAGATAAAGGATTTAGTAACTCTTTTAAATGAATGTAAAAACCAGGAGGACTCACCTGAGGGCACATAAGTCAGCACTGGGGTACCCCCAGATTGCAAGGACCTTGACTCCTGGCTAGTGCCTATTGAGGTAGCTCCCCCATTTCCTCCCTAACCCTCAATTTAGAGACAGAATCACTGGTTGTGCAATTCCTGTTGAGACCAAGGCCTCCCAGGGAATGCCTGGTAGAATTGCCCAAATCTTAGGAGTTCTCTCCCTAATTTATTCATTCAATGAGGACTTAAAGATTGCCTCCAGCTCAGCGGGGCGGGCCTATTTAGTCACAGAGTAAAAGCACTGACTACCTCTCTTCAGAGAGATTTCAGCATGATAGAGCCGGAAGGGATCCGATTGGTCACTAATCCAGTCCAGAATCCAAGCTCCAGAGAGGAGAGGGGACATGCACAGGTTCTAGCAGCAGGTTTGGGGCAGATCAGCAAGTGGAGCCCTGACTCCCAGTCCAGTGCTTATTTCTCCCAACAAGGCCTCTGCCTCCAGCTTCATGGAAGGATGCTCTGTGCATTGGCTTAACAAGCCCACAGCAGTGCATGGGCGCAGAATGGCTGTCCAGCTCTTGTCTTCTGTCACGTCTGTGAAGCTCTGGATTAGGACATCATGAAGCATCTTCAGGGTCTCCAGGATAAAGCCACTGATTGTTGGCTAGTTCAAAGGAACTTGAGTGCAAGGCACAGCTTTCAATCTGGACTTTGAATCTCAGGACTTGTGATGTTCTGGGATGAAAAAAGAACATAGGTTTTAGCCATAGCCCAATTATTCGTGGGTCCCACTCTGATAACAGACTGCTCATTAACCCATCAACACACCACACTAGCTCCCACCTCTGGGTCTTTGCTCACATAGTACCTCCCACCTGCAGTGTTCTTCTGGTCCTTTTCCCCCCATCTACGGCCTCTGCATCTTCAAAATCAATGCTTGCCACCTCCTGGAAGCCTCCCAGAAGCAACTTGCTTCATTGACCTCAGTTACCACTAATTTGGCATTTAATTGATATTTCATTTTGTCATAAGGAAACATTCTGTCTTTTCCACTAGCAGAACATTCCACAGGCCCTCACAGCACCTTGCACAGCTAGGCACATAGGAGGCCCTCAACATCTATTGGTTGAATGAATGAGGGAAGTGAATAAATGAATGAATGAATGGTTAGTAAAACTGGAAGATATAGTTAGGGCTACTGAGGATGTCAGAACTGACGTTTCTATAATATCGTTCATAAAGGACTCAGATCACTCCATAAGCTATTACCTAACCATCCTAGAGGGCAAATTATCCGTAATATCCCCATTCTCCGGGAGAAGACAGTGAGGCTGAGAAAAGAGAGGTCTAAGGTCACGATGAGGTCTCACCAGGAAAACAAGCGAATGTAGTGCAGTGAAGTACATTCAAATGACAAGGTATAAGTATGATGAAATAAGACCAGCTTTCTTGAGAAACTCATCACATGGCTTCTAAAACTAATTCCAGGATAAGAAGACAGTGTTTGAGTGACGGTGACATCACTGAAGTAAAGGTCTTGTTTCCCAGGGGACCATTTGGATGTAGAAGTTCTGATCCAGTTTGTCCAACACCAACAAACAGAACATTTCATTCTTTAAAGTCATGCTTTCATTCAATAGCATCTGCCCTATAGATCTGGGTCAAATGTTTGTAAGCAGGTTATCTTAAGTGGATTTGAAAAGGGTGGGGAAAACTATTTATCAGAGTCCACCAGAAAACATGAAAACTCAAATTTTTAAAAAAATCAGTGATAAATATTATCTCTAAAGGAAACAACTCAGAGCCTCAGGGGAGGGGGATTATTAGGAAAAGCATGGGACCAATCAGAAGAGTGAGAGGGATGGTAGGGGGAGGCTGTCCTTAAGGAATCAACCAAGGCAAGCTCGCTGAAGGATGTCTCCTGGAAGCCTTCCAACCAACAGCCCGTGGATCCTTCTCGTCTACCTCAACCATCCCTTATTTGATATGGAACCTTATTCTGCTTTGTTATTTAAATTTTATGACAGCCTAGAATTGGGAAGCCAAGCAGCAGAACCCATGAAATAATAAGAGGGCAAGCTAGGACAGTAGACAGTCCAATATTCCATACTGGTATCAACAGGGTAAAAACGCATGTACAGTTAGAGACCAGAGCCAAATGAAGAAGGTGCTCACTATCCAGTAAAGCCAATGAGGGTTTTGGGAAAGAAAAAGGTCACCGTGGTGTAGAATTGTCTCAGAAGGCCTCAGCAAGGAGGTGGCATTTGAGCTAGACCCCAAAAGTCCTGCACTAAGCAGGGGAGGGGAGAGGACAGCGAATAGGTCCTGTCGTGACCACAAGCCTGTTGTCGCCTGTGCCAGACTGCCCCCTCTCACCTGAGGGGCCTCCCCGTGTGGGAACTGGGGGTAACTGTGTCGGCTGTAGTGTAGGCCCACGAGGCTGAGGACGGCGTGGCTATTGTTGCCAGCAAATTTGTCGGCCAAGCCAAAGGCAAACTGGTAGGATCTCTCGACGAGGTTCCTGTGGGGCTCCGTGGAGTGGGCCTCCCGGCTGCTCAGGGTGGCCACCAGCTTTCTAAGGGAGGAGTCTGAGAGCTTGTAAAAACACCTCTTAAAGTCGGGGTGTCGCCTGATCTGGAAGCAGAAATGAAGGCAGGGCATCAGTGCTGCTGGCAGGCAGCCCCCTCTCCCCAGCTGACCCTCCTCCAACCCCACACAGCCAGGCTGGGTGCCTCACTGTCCCAGGGAGGAGCTCCCCTTGTTAAATTCCTCCACCACCCCCAGGATCTCAGAATCTGTTCTGCAAAGTCCAGCTCCAAGCAGCAGGACAAACTGAAAAAAAAAAAAAGTGCAGGTGGTTGGACTCAGAGAGCTGATGCTTAAATTGCATTTATGAGCTGTGTGACCTCTCTGAGCCTCTGTTGGTCATGCGTAGAATGGGGGTAATAATATCCCTCCCCTCCCCAGTCGTCATTGGGGGAGGGGGATTAAGTGAGGCAGTTTATGTAAAATGCTTCATGCAGAGTAGATGCTCGATGAATTTTGGATCCCAACCTAAGCCTCCTCCTCTTAATACCCAAATGTTTTAGGTTGGGTTTTCCCCAGAGGCAGACCCAGAGACAGGCACTTGCATGCAGCTCATTTATGTGGTAAGTGATCCCAGGAAACACTGATGGGGGAATGGAGACCTGGGACAAGGATGGGAAGGCAGTCCACACAGGCTGGCAGCTGGAGCCACACTCCTCAGAGTTATCCCCTCAAGGGCGAGGGAGCTGGGGTATGTGCATACCAGCTCCCATCAGCCATCGGTGGAGGGCTGCTCCTGGGGAGGTGGAGTGTTAATGCTGGCCTACTATGGGGATGGCAAAGTGGATCTGGGGGCCAGTCCTCAGGCAAAAGGATGCTGGTGTTGGTGTTGGGAGTTGGGCCAGAGAGCAGTGTGGTGGTATGGGAGGCACCAACAGAGTTCCCGACACCGATTACTCATCTATGACCTGTGTTCACACCCGACACCTCTTCACATGTGGTCTGTGTCTGTCTCTCCAAGGTTTTCAAGGGCAGCAGACGTTTTGTTATGGGCTGTCTAGCAGGAGAGGAAAATCTAAAAGCTTGAAAGAATTGGAGACCATAGAAATGCTGAAGTGTGTGCCAGACAGAGAAAAGGAAGACAGCAGAAGATGAGATGAGCGGGACCGGTGGGCCAGACCCAGGCAAGGAGGTTTTCAGGGAGGTGGGAAGTGGGCTGAACTTCAAGGAGGATTCGGACTGGGAGAGGTCCTGGCTGGCAAGGAGGGTCCACGTGAGCTTTATATACATGTCTGGCATTTTCTATATACACACTAAACTTTGTCAAGTAGGTATTTATCCCGCATTTTGCAAAGAGAAGTTAAAGGACACGCCCAAGGTTGTCCAGATGCAAAGATGAGGATTGAACTCGGGTCTCAATTGTGGGTTGATGAGGCCCCCAAGGTTGGCCTTGGGGGAACTAAGCAGTCCTCACCTGCTCCCCCAACTGGCCATCCGCTTCTTGGAGAAGAGCCACCAGCTTCTGGATGATCAGCTCCTCTAAGGAAAATAAAGAAGGATTGAGGGCCTGTTGACAAGTCCTGCACTAACACATCCATCCATTACAGACAGTATTGTGTCTCTGAAACACAGCACACAGATGGTTATGAAGGGCCAAGAAAAATCCTCCCCTGATCTAGGGCTGGAGCATGAGAGCTTCCTTTGGGTTTGCTTTCTAGAAATAAAGGGACTTTGGCCTGCTGAGCCTCACCTGCTAAGCCTCACCTCAGCTCCATTTGACAGATGGGGAAACTGAGACCTTCCAATGCCCCTTATCCAGCTACAGAGTAGTGTGGTCAGGAATGGGAGATGGGACCAGGAGCAGCTAATCAGAATGCGGGGAGGAGAAACGCCAAGGCTACTCATGCTGCCGGAACGCACCCAGAGACCGGGGCTATAAACAGCAGTATGCAGGTAGCCGTTCATACCAAGAGGTAATTGCAAATATTCAGGAAATTTGTGAACCCATTGTTATAAACTGTTGGCAGCTTGAAGTCGGCCATGGTGGCAATATTTATATACCACAGAAATCTGCAAATGCTACAAATCAGAGCTCCCCCGCCAACCCCCCACCACCAGCCTATTTGCCAGTACACCACCAGTTATGAGACCCAGAGCAACCTAAGGACTTTATATGAAACATTCAAGCAAACCAATGCAGAGGGGTGTTCAGAATACAGAATAGACAGGTGTTCTCTACCTGCAGAAGGCTCTCAACCTGCATCTGCTCCAAGCCCCAGCCGAAAGGCCAGCGCTGTCTCCTCCCTGCCCATCTAGAACCTTCTGGAGAATTTGTCAGCCGCCCTCCCAGTTCCCTACTTGGATTCAGCCTGTGAAATCTATGCCAAAGCAAAGCCCCTGGGCAGCCGTCCTCACAGGTGAGAGCAGGGTGGTACTCACTGGATTCACAGGCTCCATCCAGCTGAGGTACCCCTTCTGGCTTGTGGCTTCTGGCCTGGGAGGGTGCTTCTGAGGATCCAACGGGACCCCCTTCTGCAGGCGAGGACTCCTGGAACTCAAGAGCCTCCAAATCTGAGGGCAAACGGGAGTTGGTGTGGGCATGTCTTGCACCTGTCTCCAATCCACAAGCACATCGCGGAATCCAGGTTCTGACTAGAAGCTGTTCAAAGGCACTGGCACCAGAGGGGTACCGGTTTCCCAGGCTCCTGGATAAACCCCCAGGCCCCCTGGGCCCACCTCAGTGGAATTCACAGTGCTCCTTGCCCCTCTAGAAATCTCATTCTTCCTTCTTCCAGCAACACCCTCTGCCTCCTCACAGTCTTCAAGGAAAACCAGGTCCACCAAGTGAGCCCACGTCCCTTCAACTCTGCGAGGCTTTACTGAGTCACACAGCCTGTCTGAACCTCACTTTCTCCATCTGTCAAATGGGAGTGATAAGACTGACCTCACCAGTGTGAGCAGGTCAAGTGAGATACCGTGTGTGAAAGTGGTGGGTAGTAGGCCCTCTGTGAATGTCAGGGGAGTCGTCATACACCCAGGGGTCCTCACACTCCCGAGTAGTAAAAAAGCAGAGGCCCGGGCCATACCCTCCTTCATCAAACCTTGGTCTCTGTTTTTCTATTAGCTTTCCAGGTGATTCTGATGCACTTGTCTGAGGAACAGATGCACTGCTCTAGTACTGCCTTTGTCTATAAGTGTTCACGTGTGTATGTATGGGGGTGAGGGCGTGCGTCGTGAGTGGTTGGTCCTGCGGGCAACGAGCCCCTCTCTCCTCTCCACAGCCCCCCCACACCTCCCCTCTCTGCTCAGAGCAGAGAGTGAAAGTCAAGACTGAATGGGACACCGCACAACTGGCCAACCCCTGTCCTAGAGGAATCCTCGGGGCCAGAGGCAGCCTCTGTCACCATGGCAACACTGCGCCTGCTCACCAAGGCTGCTGGAGATGGGGGGCCGTTGGCCCCCAACACACAGGGGCGGCAAGCTGGGCCTCCTGAGTGGCCGGGACTCCGGGCTGGCAGCACGGGCAGCACCCCCTTTCTTGGCCTCCTTGAAGCCACGTTTCTTAGAAAAGGCTCTGTGTGATCTTCGCAAGTTGGACTTTTTCTCTTGGGATTTCTTTCTGCAGGCTGGGGCCAGGTTTTCTACAGCCACCTCTGGCTCCTGGACTTGAAGTTGCTGTGGGGGAGATAAGACAAGCTGAGTTAGGGCCCCCGACTTTGAGGAGATTGCAAGTGAGCTGGGGAAAGAGACCAGCATCCTCTGAAACAAACGGAGACCCCCTGGGGCTGAGGGTGCAGCCCAGAGAGAGGAGCAGTGGATGCTCAGAGCTGGGGAAACAAGTGTGGCCCCACAGGGGTCAGGGGAGGCTTCTGGAAGATGTGGAATTGGGGCAGAGGCAGGGGAGTTACTATGCCAGGTAGGGGTGGGGGTGTCCACAGTGGGAGTCAGGGGCTACACAGGGAATATCCTCCTCACCTTCTCTCGCTCCTGCTCCTCTGCGTGATGGAGTAGGGCAATGATCTTCTGGGTGAATTCTCCTAAAAAAGATCAAAGTGGTTGCTTACACTTTAGTGCTGAGAAAAGCTTTTCTCTGGTCAGGCTTGGTTTCCTAAGGCCCAGGTGGCTCCCTGAGTGGTTCTCACAAGTACTAATGAGCTTGCACTTGTGGTTGTCCCAGTACAAGGGACCCCCAAGGACCCCTCAGAGGAGGCCTGGTTCCATGGGAACATATTCACTTATCCTTTCACCAACGAGGGCCTAGATGGCTCCATCAGGTGTGAAGAGAACAGACAGGCCCTGCCTCCAGGAGAAAGTGCCTCAAGGCCACCTGGAAAGGCCTCGTGCCCAGAAGTCCCCTCACCCCGCACCTTCCTCCTCTAGGTAGAGCAAGGGCCGTTCTAATTCCCCTTCAAGGCACATTTTTCGTGAAAAGCAAACAAGGCAGAATGGAGGTAGAGGAAGCAGACCTTTAAAAGTATCTTCAGACACTGAACTGGCAGTGATTATATGATTCTAGGCTTGGCTCTGCCAATGATGAAATAACAGTAATAGTGACAGCAGCTACCATTTGTTGGGCTTCTCTCCTATGGCCCCTGCCCCCTTCTCCTGAGGCTCTGTTCTCACTCTAGGCTATGCAGCAAAAACAATATAATAATAATCAATGGCAGCTAACATTTATTTGCTTTATTGGTGTTAATTCATCTAGAGCCTCCAACAACTCTAGGAAATAAGTACTATTATTATCCCCATTTTACAGATGAGGAAACTGAGACCAGAGATGAAGTGACTTGTCCAAGTTCACACAGCTGGAAGATGTCAGAGCCCAAATTCAAATCCACGCCCTAAAGATCACACCCTCTCTGAGCCCTCCCAACACTTCCCTTGCACCGCCTTAGGTCGGCCTCCCCAGGGAGGGCGCCATCACCATCGCGGTTTTACAGCTGGGACTCAAACGAGATGAGTGACACAGTCTGGCCCGGGGCTTGCGCTCGGGACCACACGCTGCCTCCCCAGCCTGCTGCACTCAGCGGGAGGTCAGGACGGGTCACTGCCAATCTCTGGTTCAGTTTCCCTTCTGCAAGCAGAGGGGTCAGGCCGGACGTGTCCCAAGGGGCCTCTGAGGAAAGGAGGGGGTACTGACGGGATTCCGAGGCTCTGTCCAGCTGCAAGTCCTCTTCAGGTGCCCAGCTGCCTGGCGTGGAAAGCTCGAAGGGGCTTGGACCAGCGACATCTGTAGACAAGGCCTCCTGGACTTCAGGTTCTTCCAAGCCTGAGAAGCAAGATGAGATGGCAGGTGTGTTTTATGAGTCTGAGGGTGTCAACAACTGCACAGAAGTTAGCAGAGGCTCCGAAGTGCACTCCGTGGCTAGAGCATGCAGAGGCCCTGCTGGGGTGGAGGTGAGCTCCTGGGCAGGGCAGTGGCTCTGGCTCCCTGGCCCAGACCAAGCTCTGTTATCTCTATGCACTTCCACTTACCTGGCTTCCCTAAGCTCTGCTCCCCCTCCTCCCTCCCCTGCCAACCTCATCCCATCACCATGTTGTCTTGATCCGCCAGTGGGAGAGCAGATGCCCAATGCCATGGCATGAATTAACGCATCACGTCCAGAATCCTCCTGCGTGAAAATATCTCCCCTTGCGGCCTGAAAGGCCACCACTCCTTTTGCCTCCTCCATTTTAAAATGTGAATTCCCCTGGCCAGGATGGCCTGCCAGGCTGCTCCTCACTGACACCCAGGATGACCCCCTCTCCTTCTAGCTCTGGTTCCGTCATTGATGGGCCATGTGACCGTGAACACAGTTTTACCTCCCTAAGCCTCAGTTCCCTCATCTGTAAAATGGGATAATAATCCGTACTTCATAAAATGGCTGTGGGGACTGATTGAGATATAGACATGCAGTAGGGAAGTGTCTTATTTTACAGGCGAGGAGAGTGAGGCACAGAGATGGGGAATGGCATAGAAAGTACAGCGCACAACCCAGGTCTCCTGCCTCCTAGGCTCCAGCTCCTTCCTGCACATGCTACCCCCGGCCGGAGTGTGGGAGCTGAGGCTGCAGAGAGATGAGGATGTAGGGCGATTCCTGAACACGATTTCCATCGGGGGCTTAAAGAGGTTGCCTAGACCTTAGTGAAGTGTGTGTGGAGGTGACCTGCTGGCATCCTTTTCCTCCTCCCCACAGCCCTCCCCACACCGCTCAGGGCCGAGCAATAAGTCAGCTCTTAAAATGGCCAATTCCAGCCTCAGGGAAGGTTCCAGAGCAGGAGGCAGCTACAGTGTTGCTATGGTAACTACGAGCCTGCTCACCAAGGCTGCTGGAGCTGGAGGGCCGCTGGCCCCCAACACACAGGTGCAGAAAGCTGGGCCTCCTGGGCAGCCGGGACTCCGGGCTGGAAACATCTACAGCCCCTGCTCTCTTGGGTTCCTCCGAGACATGTTTCTTAACAGAAAAGCTTCTCTTGAGGCCAGACTTTTTCTCTTGAGATTTCCTCCTGAAGGCCGGCGCTGGATTTTGTGGAGCTACCTTTAGCGGAGGGGCTTGAAGTTGCTGTGGAGAGATGAGGGAAACTGAGTCAGGCCCCTGACCTTGAGGAGAGGAGCCAGCTCCCCAAGAAGCAAATGAAGAGCAACTAAGGGCTTCAGGGCGGCCCAGGCGAGGGAGGCGACAGAGCCCAGAGCAGGGGGAGCACTGGGGCCAGGAAGGACAGGTGGGCTCGAGCAAGGAGGGGGAGGCAGCAAGCCCCTGGGCATCTTTGCAGGCAGTTCGCGCCTCACCTCTTCTTCCCACTGGTCTCCCACTTTTTTGAGAAATTCCACTATCATCTGGATGGTAGCATCCTCTGAAAGAAAGTAAATGCACCCGGTTAATCCTTCTAGATGCACAAAGAACTCTTTCTAATCGCCGTCTTGGACTTCTGAGACCAACTTGGCCCTTCTGTATTGAACGAGGGGCCTCTTAAAATAGCTCCTTAGGCCACAGGAGGGGGGAAAAGCACGACATCCTGGGGCTGCTCCTTTTGAGAGAGAGTTGGAAGATCCACAGGGAAGGGTACGAGCCCAAAGCAGGAAATTTTTATAGGAAATTTCAGGTCAGCCCTTCAAGCATTCAACTTGGGCCCCACTATTTCCTCTGAACTTTGTAGATCTGTAAATATTTGCTTTGGGCTCGGCAAGTTGTGTGATCTTGGGTAAGTTCTTAGCCTCTCTGAGCCTCTTCTCTTCCCTTGTGAAATCCCTGTCCTGCTCCCCTCAGAAGCTGTCAGGCCGTCAAATGAGGGACTGTGCTTGGAAATACTTTGTAACGGTGATGCTCATCTTCTAACCTGCAAAATTCCCGTGGGGGAAATGGTGGAGACCTGGCCTAACTAAAGTGGAGGACAGACGGACTCCAACAGGCGTGACGCAGACAGCCTGCCACGATGACGCCTCCACCACACAGCCGAGTCTTTACAGGGAAGCCACCAACAACAGAAATGGTTTTCTTTGACACCCCAGTCAACCCATCCAAAGACAATGTGCCCAGAGTGGCCTCTGCCAGTTGCCAGCTGAGCAGTTTAGGGGCAAGCAAGCTTCCCTGTTTCCAGGCAGTCTGCAGGTTTTTTTGCCCCTCACTCCCCTCCTTCACTTCTCTCTCATTTTTAAATCCTGTTTGGCTTTTGTTCCTTGACTCAGTCTACCAGCTGATTCCCTCTCAGGTGAGAAAACAATTAGCGTATAAAATAAACACCCTGCAAAATAACCAACTAAATGCCTTTTAGCTATTCTTTGACAAACACATAGCTCCTCCATTGCATATCTTTTATAATATGCCCATTCTTTATAGGGAATTAGATTAATAGAGCATTACCAATTTTATTAGGAGCAATAACAGTGTTGTGGTTGTGTATGACTGTCTTTATTTCTTGGAGATGCATGCTTATTTAGGGATGAAGCATCCTTTTACTTGAAAATGGTTCAGGAACAAAATTATACACACACACACACACACACACACACACAAAGCAAATATGGCCAACTGTGAATAATTGTGAGTATATGAGTATGCCTTGAACTATTCTTTGCACTCTCCTATATATTTAAAAATATAAATATAAATTCTATATTCCTCTATTCTATATTCTTTCTATAAATTTAAAAAGACTTTTAAAAAGTCCCATTCGCATTAACACACAAGGCATCTGCATTTTGAGAGCGACCGTGCCAGGGCTAAGCAGTCGTCCAGAGCAATCCATCTCATTGGTGACGGCCACCCCAGCTGCAGGCAGAGGACACTAAGTGGATTCCGACTCACGGTCAAGCTCTGTGAGCTCCTCTTCCCGCTGGTGACTTGTGACGTGGGCAAACACCTCTGAGACTCCAGCACCCTCACCTTCGATGGGCAAGGCCTGGTGGAGAGCAGAATCGCCCCCGCCTGGAATAAAGAGGAAGGCAAATGTGTGTTGGTGTGGGTGTGTGTCAGTGCTGTTCTCCTGACCTTGTTAATCAACACGATAAAACGGCACAGAAGTCACAGCAGGACAGACGCTGCAGCAGCCAGCTCTAGCCTCCACCAGAACATCAGAGACCCACTGAGATTTCAATTCGAAGAGGCTGCCTCAACCCAGACATCCTTCCCCCAACCCACAAAATATCCTGGATCTTCCTGAGGTCTCTTCTCCCATTAAAAACACAGTGAGTTTTGAGCACTACGGGGCAAATCTCCATCCTTCTCTAGGTGTCTGTAGGGCACCCAACTCCAGGATCCTAGAGTCAGAACAGGAAGGCACCTTGGGGTCAGCTCCCTCATTTTACAAATAAGGAATCAAAGGTTCCAGAGAGGGGAAGCAACTTGCTCTAGGTCACACAGCAGGTTTATTCCTAATGGAGGCAAGTCTAGAACCAAAGTCTAGAACCAACACCCCAGCAGCTGGCTCTTTCTACTTCCCTACATCCACCCCTAGTCCTCACATATGGACTAGTTGGGGGATAGGTAGGGCTTCCCTCCTCTCCTCCCTCCCTGCCTTCTCATTTCTCCCTGGTCCATCATCCCGGAGCTGGAGTACTTAACAATAACAGCTATCATTTATGGAGCACTTTCCATGTGCCTGCTCTGGGCCGGGCCACCCCATGAGACAGCAACCGTTATTATCTCCATGTGATGGATGAAAACAAACTGAGGCTCAGAGAAGGGAGTCACCAGCCCCAGGTCACACAGCTAGTGCATGACGGAACTGGGGTTTGACCTCAAGCTCTCAGCCACAGTGCCATTCCGCGTCAGAGAAATTTCCCAGTGGTGTTGTCCCTGATAGCTGCCCCAGCTTCCCAGTCCCCGCAGTTGAGAGGTTTGAGGAGCTGGCTTAGAGCACCCTAGCCCTTGGGGTGGGGCAGTGGGGTTACCATAGAAACGGGCATGGTCTGCTCACCCCTGCGAGCTGGGCCCAGGTCAGCCTCCTCGGAGCGCGAGGCAGCAGCCGTCCCGGGCAGCCCTGCCTCTTGGCCTGCCACCTCCCCGTCTTGGGCCCTCTTGGTTTCCTCACCACGTTGCTTGTGGCCATGTTTCTTGCGGCTGGCCTTCTTGTCGTGGGCTTTCTTCCTGGAAGCTGGCTCCCCCGGTGCCTCAGGGGCTTCTGCAGGCTGTGAGAGGCCCTCCTTCCCCTTTGCCCTCCTGCTGGCCTTTTCTTTGGGTTCCTCGGGGCCTGTCCTCAGGAAGAAGTTCAGCAGGGTCTTCAGCCACCCCTGCTGGGCCCCTCTCTGGGCCTTGTCTTTCTTGGCGTCCTGCAGTGGCCTCTGCTCAGTGGGGAGAAACTCTTTGGTCTCCTCCGGGCCGAGGGCTGTGGCCGTGGTGCCCTGAGTCTCCGCAGCCTGAGCTGGGCTCTCCGGACGTCCGGGCCCGTCGCTGACCGCCCGGCGAAGTGCCCTCCTGGAGGGGGTGCTGGACAGCGAAAGGCACTGGCAGTCCCACGACTCAGAGTCCTTCCTGGGGTTCTGTGACCTGTCCAGAGACCTGGCTCTCCTCCCTGACTGAGGCCTCCTCAGGCCCCGTGGGCGATCCATTGCACTACAAGCAAAACAAACAGCTCCCTTAGGAGAGGCCGAGCAGAGCCCCCGAGGGGGGCTGCCAACGCTGGCCGGCGCACCCAGCCACCCTACCCACAACCGGCAGTAAAATCCACTCTCCACCCTGTTGTCTCGTTTCAATTCCTCAGCAACCCGGGAGGGTGGGGCATCCTTGTCCCCATTTTCCAGAGGAGGAAACTGGACTACACTACCACAGGAGGTGGTACCCCAGATCTCACAGCCAGTCCGTAGCTCCCCCAAGCCTCCAGAAGGAGCACAGCCCTGCCAACACCTTGATTTTAGTCCTTTGAGACTGATTTTGGACTTCTGACCTCCAGAACTGTAAGATAATGAATTCGTGTTGTTCCAAAGCCACTGAGTTTGAGGTATTTGTTACAGCAGCAACAGGAAGCGAACGCGGCCAGAACCAGAGGCCAAGTCCTGCCCCTCAGGCTTCAGGCGGCTCGTGCCCCTTTTCTGGCCCACATGCCCATCTGAAACATGCCCGAGACCTGCCTCTCTGTCTCACAGGCTGCTAAGAATATTTCACAAGACAGCTCCAAAAACAGCAACTCTCTTCTTCCAATTGCTCAGGCCAAAAACGTGAAGTCATCCCCCACTCCTCTCTTTCTCTCTCTCCCCGCATCTGATCCAGCAGCTGATCCAGACCTCAGCCACATCTCCCACCTCCTCCACCGGGGTCTGGGCCCCAGCTCTGCTCACCTGGACTGTTGAGGTCGCTCCTAACTGGTCTCCCTGCTCTACCCGTGTCCTCCTTCCAGAAACTTCTCCCCTCGGCAGCCCCGGGGGCTTTACAACATGAGTTAGAGCATGTGGCGCTCCTGCCTCCATGGCTTCCTTTTCATTCAGAGTCAAAGTCCTTCCAGTGTCTGGCAAGACCCCACACGACCTGGCCCTATTACCTCCCCAGTCACCTCTCACTCACTCTCTCTACTCTGCTCACACAGCCCTGCTCACTGTCCCTCAGGCCGACTCTGCCTCAGGGCCTTGACACTGGCTGTTCCCTCCTTCTAGAACATTCTTCCCCTAAACAGCCTTATGGTTTGTTGCCTCACTTGCTTCAGGGCTCTGCTCAAATGTCACCTTCCCATAGAGGCCCCACTGTGCACCCCCATTAGCACCCTGTCCTCCCTTACCACCTGAAGTTTAATTGTTTATTGTCTGAGTCTCACTCCCTCCCCTTTCTCTATTTTGCTAGGTCTTGTATCCAGAAAAATACATGGCACATTGCTGGCACTCAGTAACTCCTTATTAAACAGATAAATAAATGTATTACACACACAGTCAACTGTCCAATACAGAAGGTGTCTCTGTAGTGCAGTTAACATATAATAAATGTATTTGGATCAGTCGCACATTACAGCCGAAGGGTCCCTTCCAGTCTCCATTTAGAATGAAGCAGCTGCCCACGGAAAAGACGAAAGAACCACCTCCTCCTGGGCGGCATTTGAAGCAGGCCGGGGTGTGTGCAGTTCATTTGTGTGTCTGTGATCTGAAACTCCTAGGGCTTTCCAATTTTTCTAAAGTGTTCAGAAACCCTTTGCCCTTTGGTGGAAGTTAAAGGAAAAACCAAATATGGTTTTGAATCCCAAACCTGAGCTCCCAGAGATTCCTGTGGAGTTTAGATTCATGGATTGCCTATTCTAATTTGTAATTATAGCCTTCTCAGGCATTTACTAAGTGTTATTGAGTGTATTATGTATTTATGTATGTATTATGTATTTACATCACATCTCCTGCATTTACCAACTCATTCATTTACTTTCAAATGTAGTCTATTACTATGTCCAGCTTAGAGGCAAAAATAAGAATCTGTAATTGCGATTTCAGATGTGGGGGATCATTGTGAACGTGAGGAAGATGCACAAAGAGAGAGAAGAAAAGGCACGAGGAATCACAGAGAGGTTTGAAGGTGACAGTGACATTCAGGATGCCTTCCCTCCTTTGAGCCCTGGTCTGGGGAGGAAGGACAGAGACCATCGATTACCACCGGCACAGCTGGGCATCCACACGTGGACAATCTTCGAGGAAATCACAAAACAGGCCAGGGAAGAGGCAGGCAATTCCGAAGGCTTTATTTGCTATTTAATGTTCCTTGAAAGGAACATCTGGGTTATATGCAAACTTCTAGCAATACACGTCTATATCTTATGTGGAAATTGACTAATGTTCTTGAAAGCTTCAGAGGCTGCCTTGCTGTTGTGCTTCTGAAATACGGTGTGGGGTGGGATAAAGAGAAGAAATCATAGAAGAAAATATTTTTCTTTCTTCTCACTTATTTCTTTCTACAAACACTAATAAGCACCCACTATGTACCAGGAATTATGCTCAGTGCCAGGGATATAATAATAAACAAGATAAAGGGTGTGCCCTCAAAGAGAATGCTCTGGTCTTCAAATGGACAGGAGTGGGGTTGTGAGGAAGTGGTGATGACAGAATGCCCTATTCCCCTCATATCTGCTCTCTCTCCAGTAGCATATGGTCTTAAGAGAAGACAAATTTAGGTGGAAGGTCTATTTGATTTTAAGATCCAAGTAAGCTGAACGAGAAATCTTTACTGAATGGTGTCAGAGTTCTCCGCTTTTTCCGTATGTTCCTGTGGCCAGGGCAAATTGGATGGGGTTGGAAGAGAAGCTGTTCAATAACAAAACCACCAAACCAGCCAAACACACAGGACACCCTCTTTCAGCTCAGCCCCTTTTCTTCACATGCTAAATTGGCTCTAGGGGGCCCGTTGCATAGAGGGCTGGAGCATCCTTCCCAGCTAATGGGAAAAGAGGTGCAATAATCGTTTAGAAACCTGTCATTGCTATGGAAACGGTTTTCGCCATTGCTCATGGTCGCAGTGGCCTCCTACCACGTTCAAGGGACACATTGCTGCTTCTAATCAGAGCATCAATACAATTCTACTGGGCAATATTTTCCTTTTTGATGTTTTTTCAAGAAAACTGCCTTGATTTGGTGACCCCCTCCCTGGAACTACAGTGCCCTGAGCCCAGAGGGAGGTGAGGAAGACTAAAGAGCCACATGCAGCAGCTGCTGCGGCCCAGCAACAGGGAGAGGCAGGATGAGTGATGTGTGGCCTTAGCCATCCAGGAGGTTTCCCCAGTAATCTCCCAAGGCCTCCTAATTTCAAATCCAGTGACCTCTTCCCGTTCCTCATCCTCCCTCAAGGTCCTGTGGCCTTTGATACCATGCCCGCTTCCTTCTTGAAACTCTCTCCTCTCTGGGCAGCTGTGACCCAGCTCAGCCTGGCTCTTCTCCTACTCTCCGACTGCTCCTCCTCTGTAATGTTCCAAAGATTCTGTCTTGCAACACCAGGCCCGGGGGGGTTGAGAGAGTGTGGCTGGCCAAGGAGGGCAAACCCACCCACCCCCGGGGTGATATACTGGAAGATCCTCTCTGTAGCGGATGTGTTCTCAGACTTTTAGTCTCCAAGCTCTGAGAAGATTGTGTTTTAATATTATCTCCCCACACAAACACTAAATTCTGTGTGCTGAAATTAAATCTTTCCAGACTTGCTGACTGCAAAATTTTGCCTATCCAGAATTCATCAAAGCAAGACTTTCTTTCTCTTTTTTCTTGTTTTGTGCCCCTGCTTTGCCTGGGCATGTTCCGCCTGACTATCGGGGAGTCCGGGACACGCTTCCAGACCAGTCACCCTGAGACTGCAGGAGACCTCCACTGCGTGGAAACCCTCTGCTCTTGTAAACTTGTTTATTGCCTTGGCAGAAAGTGGATTTCAGAGCAAAGTCCAAGTCGGCTCAGAAATACCCAGGTGATCTGCAGATCACAAGACTTCTGGTAAGATGTGACGTACACCAGCAACGTGTTTAAAAACAACAGCAAAGCCCCAGAGGAGGCACCCAGAGCTGACCTTGAGTTACTGTGGAGCAGGAAGTTTGCCAATTTTTCACAAGTGTGCTGCCGTTTTTGGTGGATTTTCTAAAGTATACACCGACCTCATCTATACTATTCTCTCATTTATTCCCAGACGCGTTACTCTATAACTGCTCTGGCGCCGTTTCATAGGGAGATCTTGCCACTCCCTTCTCCACGCCCGTAGCTCACACAATCAATATTTAACCAACAGCTGGCTGCGCCAAGGAGGAGTGTGTGTGGCACACACGTGTGGACCCACAGTCAACAGCCACAGACAGACACTCATTGCTATAGACGGAATGTCTGTGTCCCCCCAAAATTCATGTGTTGAAACCGAGCCCCCAAGGTGATGGTATTAGGAGGTGGGCCTTTGAGAGGTGATCAGGACGTGAGAGCAGAGCCCAGTCTGTGGTAGTTTGTCATAGCAGCCCAAACGGGCTGACACTCATATGTCACCGAAAGACACTCCTGTACACTATAAACCTACGTGCACCAATAACGCCCTGCCCCAGGCGTAAGGGAATAATTATTTGAGTATCTATTTGCCGTCTGCCTTCCCTGTCTAACTCCAAGTTCCAGAGAGAGGACCCGAGCCTGCGTGGTCCCCTGCCATGTCCACACTGCCTGGGAGGCTTTCAGTGTTTGTGGAGTGAATAAACTATACACAGATATGTGCAAACACGACCAGCTCACCAGTGAGCTGCCACATGGCGGTCAGGATGGCCTTTCATCTACATTTTCTCCCTTCGCCTTGGCCACGGCCCTGTGAGTCAGACAGGCTGGCGGTGGGGCACTGAGCCTCTGACCGTCAAGAGACTTGCCCAAGGTCCCTCAGCTGAGAAGTGGAGAGAGTCGGGGCTTGAATCTACCTCTCTGGATTCTAAATTCTTTCTTCTCTCTCCTACAGCAAGTGGCCTCCCGTAAATACAGACACACACACACACACAGGGACTTAGAGGTGAGCAAATCTGCTATTTCACACCGACGGCAATAACCACGTCCACACACATGCCTGCTGGGACCTGGACATGTGGAGTCACACGTCCACGTGTGCCCAGGTATTGCCACCTGTGCCCCAGAGGCAAAGACTGTAA